TTCATTAGTTCTAACAGTTTTTTGGGGGGGGGTGATCTTTAGCGTTTTCTACATATTCATCATCTGCAAAGTGATCATTTTACTTCTTTCCTTCGGTTTGAATGCCTTTTATTTCTCATTCTTTCCTAATTGCTCTGGCTAGGACTTCCAGTACTATGTTGAATAGCGGTGACAAGAGTGAGCATTCTTGCCTTGTTCCTGATCTTCGAAGGAAATGCTTTCAGTCTTTCATCACTGAGTATGGTGTTTGCTGAGCATTTTTCATGTGTGGCCTTTATGATGTTAAGGTAGTTTTCTTCTTTTCCTAGTTGGTTGTTTTTATCATAAAAGAGTGTTGAATTTTGTCAAATGCTTTTTCTGCATTAACTGAGACGATCATGTGTGCCTTTTCTTCTTTCTTGTTAATGTGGCATATTTCAGTCATCATTCAGCATTTAATGTACTGCCTAATTCATTTCACCAGTATTTTATTGAGGATTTTTGCATCAACATGCATAAGGGATATTGGTCTATAAGGTTCTTTTATCTTTGCCTGGCTTTGGTATCAGGATTATGATGGCCTCAGAATGGGTCAGGAAGTGTTACCAACTTTTTGTAAAAGTTTGAGGAGAATTGGTATTAGTTCTTTAAATGTTTGGTAGAATTTACCAGTGAAGCCGTAAAGTCCAGTGCTTTTCTTTGTCTGGAGGATTTTGTTTTGTTTTAGTTTTAGGGTTTTTTAAAATTACTGATTCAATCCTCTCACTATAGATCAGTACAAGTTTTCTGTTTCTTTGAGATTAAGTCTTGGTAGGTTTTGTGTAGTAGGAATTTGTCCGTTTCATCAAGTTATCCAGTTTGTTGGTGCACATTTGTTCGTAATGTTCAATTTACTTTTTACTTTAGGGAATACAATATTTCAATTTTCATGTGAAAATAAAGATGTTTTTACTAGTTTGTGTCATAAATGATCCCAAGGCCACAAAAAAGCACAAAAAAGAATTCATGTCCCACCTTCAATTACAGTAGGAGAAATGGGGCACCTGAATGGCTCAGTTAGTTAAGCCACTGACAGACTCTTGATTTCAGCTCAGGTCATGACCTCAGGGTGGTAAGATCAAGCTCCACATCATGCTCTGCCCTGGGTGTGGAACCTGCTTGGGATTTACCCCCCTTCTCTCTCTGCACCCCCCCCAGCAATGTGCACCCTCTCTCTCTAAAAAAACAAAGTAGAAGATATATGATAGACAGTAGGCAAAAATAGGAATAATAAATTTAGAAGAAAAAAAGGAAGCTGAAATCTAAGTGCTTGCAGTGGACGATAAAAACAAGTAACAAGGGGTGCTTGGGTGGCTCAATCATTAAGTGTCTGCCTTCAGCTCAGGTCATGATCGCAGGGTGCTGGTGTCGAGCCCCACATCAGGCTCCCTACTCAGTGGGGAGTCTGCTTCTCCCTCTCTGTCTACCCTTTGCCCTGCTCATGCTCTCTCAAAGAAGTAAGTCTTTAAAAAAAAAAAAAAAAAACTTAAGACTAGACTATGAATGGATGTTATGGAAAATGCCATTATTAAAATCTTAATTGTAATACAAAAATCAGTTGCCTACTTCAGCAATAAACAATTAGAAAATGAACATTTTAAAAACCATTTATAATGGTATCAAAGAACACCAAGTACTGGGGTACCTTTGTGTTTCAGTCAGGAGAGCATGCAACTCTTGATCTTGGGGTTGTGAGTTTGAGCCCCATGTTGCGTGTAGAAATTACTTAAAATCTTTTTTTTAAAAGTACTTAAAAGTGTATCTAACAAATGAGGTGATACTACTATGTATTTAAACACAGTATTTGTACAAGAATATTTACATAGCTTTATTGAAAACACCAAAATTTGTAAACACTCCTGTAGGAAAATGGACAGAAAATTAGGATGTATTCATATAATGTGGCATCCTCATAAAATGGAATAAAATTCAGCAACAAAAGCAAACAACTACTAACAGGGATGAATCCCAAAAACACGTTGAGCAAAAATTACCAAATACAAAAAAAAAAGAAAAGAAAAGAAAAAAAAAAAGGCACGATATGTGATTCCACAAAGTTTAAGGAACAGGCTAAACTACTCTTTGTGCATGAGAGAGGGGAAGGGGCTTAAGGGAACTTCCTAGGGTAATGGAAACGTTTTGTGGGGTTGTTACAGAGGAGTATGTATTGTCAGTCCTCAAACTGAATATGTAAGATCTATTTATTTTATTAAATGCATACTATGCCTTAAAAACATTAACTGAAGAAAACAGTGTTGACTCAAAATTATGAACCAAATCAAAGGATGATGGTTTTACATGATGACTCACATTCTGTGATTTGATTCTATCAATTTGTTAGAAGCATTAAGACTGTCTAGGCCTTCCCTCTGCCAATCTTGTGACTAACAAAAGTCGCTTCTAAAAAGAAATAGATGCTTCAGTTTTTCTCCAGAAGTCAAAATTGAGACAATTTCCCCCTTCCCAAAACAAGAACAAAACAACAAAAGTGAAGAAAAGAAAGAGAAGGAGGGAGGGACAAAGAAATGGAAAGCAGTAGAGAAAAAGTAACTTAGGGAACCAATAAAAGTGGTAAAAAAAAATAAAATGATTAATAGAAGTTGCAGATATGAAAACAATGAAATCGGAAGGAACAAAATTATCAAAACAATAATACAAGAACATTTCCCAAAAGGGAAGTAAATGAGTTTCCCTATTAAAAAGGTCCACTAATGTCCAGCAGCATGAATGCAGGAGCAGGAAAGGAGGGCGGGCTTATACCAAAGTTCATTGTTGTGCAGAATACCAGGTCAAAAAACTGTAAATAGGTAAGCCACATCCAAAGGATAGGGAATCAGAATGGCACCAAACTTTTAAACACTGAAAACTGGAAGACAATGGAGCATGCCTTCAAAATGATGTAAAAATTATTTTCAAATTATTCAGGAAATTCTATTCATAGCCCAACTGAGAGTAGAATAAAGAAATTTCAGACACATGAAGTTTTAAATAATGCTATCAGCCATGTACTCTTTTGCAGTAAACAGTGGAAGATATGCCAAAACAGTCAAGAAAGACAATGGCATGGGCTCAAGAAACAGACTCTAAACCAAGAAAGAAGTAGGAAATTCACAGAGTAATAGACAAGGAAGTCTCATGACGACAGCTATACTGCACACAGATATCTGTAAAGCCCCTGGTCCACTTTAAAGTAGGAAGAATGAGCTCCAGAAAGTGTTCCAGGAAAAAAAAAGAAAAGAAGAAAACAGATTACCTTATAGTTTGACCATGTGGAAAATTATATGCAGAGGCATTTTAAACACTTGCTGAAGGGTGTGGAAAGTTAAGTCACAGGTTCAAAAACAAAACCCAAAGCAAATGAAAAAAGTGCAGCAATTATTAACTCCAAGAAAAACAAAAGCTTGTACCATGTCACCTTAGTACATAAAGAGATACAGCACTGAATAATTACAATTAATACAGTAACAATACTAAATATGGACTAAACCTTATGAATAACACTAAGAGGGAAGCGAGGAGGAGAGTTTTGAAAGCTATTTAAGATTTTATTTAATTTACTTGACAGAGAGAGAGAGAGAGAACAAAGTGGGGGGAACAGCAGGCAGAGGGAGAGGGAGAACCAGGTTCCTTGCTGAGCAGGAAGCCCAATGGAGGACTCAATCCCAGGACTCTGGGATCATGACCTGAGCTGAAGGCAGATGCTTAACTGAGTGACTTACCCAGGCGCCCCAAGAAAGCTAAAATTCTTAAGTACCATGACAGAATGTCAGTTATCAATGTCTAACACTGTAAATTCTATAAATAACAATAACAATAGCAGAAGACACAGCTTGTTTGAAATGTAGCACTACTTGACTTTTTCAGCCACATATAATAATTTTTAAAAATATGATATAATGCATACTAAAAGGTTAGTTCCATGTCTAGCATAATAAATGGTAGCCTGTTGTTTTAAAAAAGTGAAAGTTTTAAAAATCTGCGGTGGGGGGAGGAATGAGGGTAAAAAGGGTCAGAATAAGTTTAGTACAAAACTTGTGTGAAGTATTGACCCCAAATTTAGCTTTGCTTTGAAAAAGAAAATAATACGAGGGTTCACACAGCCCATATACAAAAACAAAACAACAACAACAAAATCAAACCAGTTGAACAGAAGCCCAATTAATTATTCCTGGTACTGAAGCCAAAGAGAAATTATCCTAAACAGAATTCTCATAGGTAGGATATTGGGTGATATAGCTATTTAAAACTCTCTAACACCATTACAGTAAAAATATCAATTTCCTTAGGCTTTTATTCTATTTCACATAATGTCTCTTAACACAACCAGACCAAAAAATATAGGCAGCTCATATATAAAGCTCTTTGATAATATGAGTAAATTCAAGATTTCCATCCTGGGCTTCAGATTATATGTCCAGGATTATATTATGGCCAGGACAAAAGTTTCTCTACAGAGAAAACAAAGTGGGAAGAAAAAAACAGTAAAAGAGACTGAGTTCTGATACCTAAAAATTCATTATATAAGGAATAAACAAGAAAGCAACTCTTCACATGTCCTAAATGGGAGGGAGAAGTCTATACTTTATTCTTATAAGATCAAAAAAATATCCTTCACAGCATGCTTATAAGACAAAAGATTAATTCTTCCACTTACATTTTTATGGAAGGAAGAAAGTATATGCTATAGGTGAAAAACTGACAAGTTTTGGTTAAACAATATCTTTAAGTCATGTGAAAAGAGGGGCGCCTGGGTGGCTCAGTGGGTTGAGCCTCTGCTTTCCGCTCAGGTCACGATCTCAGGGTCCTGGGATCGAGCCCCATATCGGGCCTCTGCTCAGCGGGGAGCTTGCTTCCCCATCTCTCTCTGCCTGTCTCTCTGCCTACTTGTGATCTCTGTCAAATAAATAAATAAAATCTTAAAAAAAAAAAAAAAAGACATCCTTTAGAAAAACAAAAGTCATGTGAAAAGAAAAAACAACAAATAGTATAAAATAACTTTTATTTACATAATTTATATCTATAGAACATAACTGCTTTCTTTAGAACAAGAAAATTTACAAATGACAGGTATTGCTTTTTTGTCAAAAACTCCTTCAAGCAAGAGAGTATATATGGTCACTTCTAATTTGAATAACATGGTGGTAAGCAGCAGATACTCGTATTTTTAACTGTGCCTCAATCATTTACCAACAGTTAAGCTTTTAAAATCATCATGTTGACCACTTGCTAAAATATAAGTATTCAGGAGGAAAAGTCAAGAAAACAAAGACCATTATTCATACCTCCTTTCAGATTTACAAAATAATTCTTCACAACATCATCTTTACAGGAATATAAACAAAGGGTGTGACTAATTCTTTCCACCTTGTAAGGTAAATACAATGATTAAGTTTCTTATTTTCCCAGATTAGTTTGAAGGATATAATAGTAGGACAATTTATCTTGGCTGACTTGATTCTCTTACACAATGAATACCCAAAGATAAAATTATTTTTTTATATAGTAAGAAGTTACACCTTCCATAAAATGAATTCATTATAGTTGAACAAGAGACAGATGTTAACAAAGTTAAAAAATAAATATTACACAAGGGATAAAATAATAGTTTAACTGTGGCAACCTAACATCCAAACTAAGATTAAATGAAAGAAAGTGTTTCAAAATATAAGACTTTAAAAAATTTATAAAAACAGGGCATTAAAATAGCTATGTGATTGACAACCATGATTTTTGTGACGTATTAATCACATGAAATAAATTAATGCATACCTACTGAGAATTTCCACTCAAGATTTATAGATCCTCCTTGATGACACAAAAGTTAAATTATAAATTTCACTATAAAGCAATGAATAAGAAATGCTCTAATAGCAATTTTAGGATTACTGTTACATTTGCTGAACCACATCCTATTTTACTAATGAAGTTGAAAATTCGCCACTATTTTTTTCAATATACAAACACAATTATCTAGACATTAAAATATCTTCCCAGTTGAAATACTGGTCATTTTGTAATGCAGTCATCACAGTTTTAATTGTGATGCACAACTAATACCTTCAATGACAGATATGTCAAAGATAAAATGTCAGCACCTTAAGGTAAGAAAATTACTATCTAATATAGGGGTCAAATGAAGAGCCCATTACAGCCATGTCAATCCCTTCAGTGTTGTCTGTGGCTGTTTTCACACTGAAACAGCATAAATGAACAGCTGCCACAGAGGCCATCCAGCCTGCAAATTCAAGAATATTTTGCAGAAAATGTTTCCGACTCCTGCTCTGAGGCTTTTCAAGTAAAAGAACAAATTTGTTTTTGAGAAGTTTGATTTGAACCACCGAAGATTTGCTTGGGTAGATAATGGAATTACATATATAAAAAGCAAAATTTTGAAATCAAAAACAACCCTTAAATTAATACTGATGATAATCACTGACTAAATAAAATCTTATTATCTTATTTTCTGTTTTAATATCACAATTATGTTCTGTGCTTAAAGGCCTAAGAGCCCCTTAAGCAAAATTTAATGGGGGAAAAAACTATCAAGAAATTAGTTTTTAAAAAAAGGAATGTATGTGAGTGTGTGTGTGTGTAAAAGGGACTGAATTTTGTATGCAAATCTCCCTCATAAATTAAGGGTTTTTTTCCCATACAAATCCTGAGATTATCCAAAAAAATAAGAAAAACAAAAACTTCACAGTACAAATTCAATATACTAAACTATGAGAAAAAAATGTATCCAAATACTTTTAGTGATATAACTATAAATATCTTTAAAAATTAAAGGGAAAAGGGACAAACACAAATTTGTCAATGTTGTCTTTACCCATAATCTGAGTGGTGAAAATAATTAAAACTGAATATTCTTTTAAATAAAAAATTTAAAAATAAATAAACTTTTTGATGTTTCATTTTTATAAATAAGTTTAAATACTACTTGTTCAATTAGGACTAATGTTACATCAACATGAATTAGAAAAATACATATTTTCCAGTCAAATAGCTGATAATAGAAAAGTTTTTAACATTTACCATACTAAAGTGGAGTCTCACAATATGCTTTCATATACTTAGAGGCAACTGTAAAGGCCTTCAGCAAAACAAACAAAACACAAAAACAAACAAACAAAAAAACAGAAAAAAACCTTTACAAAAGAAGTTCACTAAATGCTAAATACAATCCACCTCCAAATAAGTCGGCACTGTGATTTATACAGAGAGTTTACCCACAGCACTCCAAAATGTCCACGTGTGTTCAGCACAGGAAGAGTCAAAATGTGAACAAGAGAAGCATTTCTGTCGCAGAAGCAGTCTTAATTGAGCAGTCTTAATACAACATTTGTATTTCCAAAATGCTGAATCAATCAGAATGAAAGGAACCTCAGCAATGTTTTCCACTGATTATAAAAGCTTCAAATCAAGCTCTTAAATATTCAAAATCAATCTAAAGAAAAATAGCCAGTGATGCTTTTTTCTAAATACTGCTTAGTTGATATTTGACTCTGGAAATCCTAGACTTAAAAAAATTAAAAAAAAAAAAAAAAAGACTTTTATTCTGTTTCATCTACTTCGATAAAGATATCACCAAAGAAATATTCTGAGACTGTGGTTGGCTCCTCCTCAGGTACCCGGTTTTGGCTACTTTTACATTCTTCTTTTGGTAAGGGACGATCACAAGAAGCCTAAAAAGATAATAAAAATAAGTATGCAATATAACATTTATATATTGGTAGTGGTCCTCTAAATTGCCATCTCTTTGAAAAGCAATATAGTAATAAATATTAAGAGCTTTAAATATGTTCATACTCTTCGACCCAATAATTTCATTTCTGTGCTGTTTTATTATTAGGGAAATAATACTAAACATAGAATTTTATGAGTAAGATAACCTTTGAAGCATTAGTTAAAATAATAAAACTGGACTCAACAAACACAACAGTGGGCATGATTAGATTAATTACAGTGTACATATGATCCATTATTTTACCGTAATTTCCATGAAAAAAATTTTAATACAGAAAAGCATAACATCAAATCTATAATGAAACATTTTGATAACCTGCATAAGAATACAGACCCACAAAACAGAACAGTACTCCAAGGCAACTACAAATTAAAGCAATCCTATCAAAACTTAGCATACTTAGGAACTTATAAAAAATTAAGACAACATGGTATTGTCATTGGAACAGACTTATATATCAACGAAAAAGACGACTAGAAATATCCCCAACACATATACTGCAAATTTAGTATGAGAAAAGTTGGATTATTTAATAAATGATGTTGGACAACTATATAACCATATTAGAAAAAAAAGAAGTCAAACCAAAATAAATTCAAGATAAATCAAATGATTTAAATGTGAAAATATTTTTTTAAAAATCTATTCTAGGGACGCCTGGGTGGGTCAATCTGTTAAGCATCTGCCTTTAGCTCAGGCGATGATCTCAGGATCCTGAGACTGAGCCCCAAGTCAGGCCCCTGCTGCGCAGCCTCCCCTCCCCACTCCCCCACTCCCGCCACCTCCTGCTCATGCTCCCTCAAATAAATAAATAAAATCTTAAAAAACAATCTACTCTAAAATATCATGGGAAAACACTTTAATAATCCTGGACTGGGGGAGAGGGAGTTTCTTTTTAAATGACTTGAAATGCAGAAGTCATAAAAGAAAAGATTGATAAATTCACCTATGTAGGGACACCTGAGTGGCTCAGTGGGTTAAAGCCTCTGCCTTCGGCTCAGGTCATGATCTCAGGGTCCTGGAATCGAGCCCCGCATCAGGCTCTCTGCTCAGCAGGGAGCCTGCTTCCTCCTCTCTCTCTGCCTGCCTCTCTGCCTACTTGTGATCTCTGTCCGTGTGTTAAATAAATAAAAATTTTAAAAAAAATTCACCTATGAAAAAATTTTTTAAATGTACACAAAATCAAAAAACAAACAACATATAGGTTAAAAAAAAATTAACAAATATATACATATAACCTTTATCACAAAGGGTTTTCGTTAATAGAAGAGCTTCTACAAATCAACATGAAAAATACTAATGATGCAATTTTTAAAAAAATCAAACATGGAGTGCCTGGATGGCTTAGTCGGTTAAGCATCTGCCTTCGGCGCATCATGATCCCAGGGTCCTGGGATTGAGCCCCTCATCAGGCTCCCTGCTCAGTGGGGAGCCTGCTTCTCCCTCTCCCTCTGCTGCTCCCCCTGCTTGTGCTCGCTCACTCTGTGTGCCAATTAAATAAATAAATAAATAAAATCTTTTTAAAAAATCAAACATATGATTAGATGGTTCACGGAGAAAGCATACATGATTTAAATACATGAAGAAGTGCTCAACCTCACTCATATGCTCATTAAATCTACAAAGAATTCCAAAAGTGAAAAAAAATGATGACATGCTAGTGTGAGGAAAAAGAACCTAGTCTCCTACACTGCTGCTAAGAACAGAAACTAATACATTCCGTATGGAAGACACTCAAGCAATCTCTATCAAAAGAATAACCCCCTTTTGATCCAACAATTCTATTTCTAGGAATTCAACCTATAGATAAATGTGTAAAATCACTCATTTATAAGTTAGCTATTACCATATTATTTGAAGCAGCAAATCCATTAGGAATAACCTAAATGCCTACCAGTGTGAGACCACTATTACTCTATGGTACATCAAAACAGTGGGATATGATCTAGTCACTAAAAATAATGAGGGCATGGGGCGCCTGGGTGGTTCAGGGGGTTGAGGCCTCTGCCTTCGGCTCAGGTCATGATCCCAGGGTCCTGGGATCGAGCCCCACATCGGGCTCTCTGCTCAGCGGGGAGCCTGCTTCCTCCTCTCTCTGCCTGCTTCTCTGACTCTCTGCTCAGCAGGGAGCATGCCTCACTAATAATAAAAGAAATGCTAATTAAACAGATGAAATTACATTTCTACCCTCTACTGTCATATTAAATAAGAAAAAAATTTATTTTCAAGCATTAATATCTAACGCTGGCAAGTCTACGACCTTAACTGGCACAGTTACACTGCTGATAATTTTTTTTTTTTAAAGATTTGTATTTATTTATTTGACAGAGAGATCACAAGCAGGCAGAGAGAGAGGAGGAAGCAGGCTCCCTGCTGAGCAGAGAGCCCGATGTGGGGCTCGATCCTAGGACTCTGAGATCATGACCTGAGCGGAAGGCAGCGGCTTAACCCACTGAGCCACCCAGGCGCCCCACACTGCTGATAATTTTAACAACTGTTCTCCACAGTCATTTGGCTACAATAAAGATTCATAACATACTGATCCCAGAAAATAATTCTAGGAAATATAAAATATTTTTAAACATGTTAAAGACAGTCTTTGCAAAAGTACTCCTTTTGAGACTCATGCTATCTAATAGGTCACCAGCCTTTTCTGTGTTGAAATCCCAAGTAACCAATCCCAATACTCTTCCAAAGTTTCTGATGTAAGTTCATATATGTTTCCATCCCAGGACTTGCCATATGAACATCTATAGCATGTAGAGAAATGAAACATGCAAATAAATTCTAATTTTACTATTCCTTGAATTCTTATGGATTTCAGGACATTTCCCCCAAAACAAATAAAACACCAGCACCATTCTGTTTTGCTTCCACAGATCAAAAAGTTCTCTGCGTTAAAGGAATGACAATTAAAGTGTCCATGTACGGCTGGCTTAAATGCCTCTGTACTAAAGGAGTTGTAACTTCCTAATTCAATACCTTATCTTCCTTTCTTATAGTGAGGTATGATGGGGAGAAGACAGACAAGAGATGCTCTGAAACAATTTCTAATAGCCAAATGAAAATAGCAATTGCCATGTTTTTCCTAGTTGAGTCTGATTTCTAACCCATTCTTTTTTTTTTTTTTTTTAAGATTTTATTTGTTTATTTGACAGACAGAGATCACAAATAGGCAGAGAGGCAGGCAGAGAGAGAGAGGAGGAAGCAGGCTCCCCGTTGAGCAGAGAGCCTGATGCGGGGCTCGATCCCAGGACCCTGGAATCATGACCCGAGCCGAAGGCAGAGGCTTTAACCCACTGAGCCACCCAGGTGCCCCTCTAACACATTCTATACAAACAATAAAATATAACAGTTATCACATACCTGAGTTGCTGAACTGCCAGTATTCTCAGATTGAGTATCAACAACACTTGGAGATGGAGGCTGATCAGAGGACTCTTGGATTTTTTTCTGGCTTTCACTGAGCGGATTTGATCTTTTCAAATTCTTTCTTGATACAGGTATAAGAGGTTTTAGACGTTTCTTATTATAAACCTGAGTAGGTTCATCAGACTCCAAACTATTCTTTGAACATATTAAAGACAAAAATCCCAGGGGTCTTCTGCCAGGTCTAGAAATGCAAATGTAAAGATATTCAAGAATATGCAAGAAGAGAGATTCCTAATACCAACTTCTTTCCATGAATGCTAAAATGGCACATGTGATACCACATTAGTGGTATCAGCATATCTACTAAATATCTGTATTATTTTGATCATTACATACCAGTGGCTGGTATACCATCATACCAGCAGGTGCCAATGCAGATTTTCTACCTAAAAAGTTAATTTCAGCATTTAAAGTTAAGCTCCTGTTATATGGAATGTAGTATTTATCTGAAGAGTCCTACAAAATGCTGACTACCGAATTTCCTTTGATAAAACTCCTTCCCTTTACATTACTGACAGAGAGATATGTTTATAAAACAGCATCCTTAGTAGTGAACTTAGTCTTTACATATATATCATATCTGTTGCATACAGGTCACATTTACCCTTTGAGAAAGAGAAATGGAGAGAATCTCTGTTAAAGAGCATCTCATGGTACCTGGATAATGGGGTTTTTGAAGATGATGCAATGCTATTCATTTGTTCAGACTTCGAAGCAGCACAAGTTCCCTCCTCCTTGGCAGACACAATCCTCTCATCCTGAGGTAACTGAGATGTACTTTTTTCTATATGTGTATCTGTTATTTTATCAAGAGACCCAGATCCTATACTCTGAAAAGCTGGTTCAAGTTGCTCTTTCTGAGGTTCTGGAGTTATATGTGTGCTTCCTGAGGTAGGAAAGATACCTTGTTCCTTGTAAGACTCCCCTTCAAAAATGAAGACAAATGATAAACACAGAGAACACATATTGAAATCTGTATATACAACTGAAATGTAATATTTGAAGGAAACAAATCATGACATTCTACCATTAACTTACTCTAATAAGAATAAACTAAATTATAAATTAATATGTAAGTCATCTGGACTATTAAGAACTTTGTTGCTGGTAAAAAAAAAAAAAAAGTATGGTTAGAATTTTTTCATTCAGATACAAACATATTTTGACCTAGAAAATCTTTCTCCATAAATCTATCTTCAACTAACAAAATAAGAGTTATCACCTGCTAATCCCTGGGTAGTAAACCAAAGGAACTATAAAAACTCTCTTATGCTCAGCTTTCTAATTCCTAAAATATAATTGTTCAGCTTTTACAGGACATCCTGTAGCCACATGGTTTTCTATTAATTACAGGATTAAAGTAGCTTGGTATGGCTATGAAAGTGCCAAATCCAAGATCTCAGCTGGGGAGAAAAACATAAGAATCAAAGCAAGATTCTTAGAGAAAGTGAGCAAGATCTCTTCTTCAATTCCAAATTTGAACAGATGCATCAAAAATAGCCAATTGTAATCACATTAAAATTTATTTCACTCACCTGTTTCCTCAGAAGCATTTATCATTTCCTTTGAACACACCTGTTTTAAGAAAATTAAGAAAAAAAAATTTATCAAGTAAAACTTCTTTCTTTCTTTCTTTCTTTCTTTCTTTTTTTTTTTTTAAATAAAGTAAGCATGTATCTCCCAGAAACCTCTGGGGTAAAAAGATGTCTTATGGAAATGCTACCAACATTTATGAAAAAGACATTGCTACTGTTACTAAATCTGTTCCAGAGCACAGTAAAAGAGAAGTTTTCCAATGCTTTTAGTAAACCAGTGTTAATATTAATTCAAATTCTGATTATAACCAGTACAAAAATATCAAATATAATAGTACAAGCATAATTCAGCAACATATCAAAAGACTAACACATCATAATCAAGCAGAGTTTGTCTCAGGAATGCAAAGATGTTTCAGTATGTGAAATTTAGTATAAATCAACTGAACTGAGGAGAAAAATAATACCCCCATCTGTATGTTTATGGGGAAAGTATCCAATATTATTCATACTTTAAAAAAAGACATTTTCTTAACACCATAAACTATAATTACTGCAATTCAAAACCAGCATTCCACTTCATAAACACTGGAAATATTCTCATTTAAATCAGGAATAAGAAAAAGATGTCTACTATCAGGACTGTTTTCTGGTATTTTTTGAGTTTTATTAGCCTATATAGAAAAGAGAAAGAAATTAAGTGTATACAAAGTATATGAGATGAATTAGAAAACCCAACAGAATCAAGTGAAAAATTACTGTAGGTGGTAAGGGGAATTCAGTAAGCTCTCTACTGTTTTGTTGTCAATGATAATGACAACAAAAAAGATAAAATTCTTAGGGGATGACCTAATAAGAAACGGACCAAAATTTAAATGAAGAACTGAAAATACCACTGAGACATAAAAGAGTAACTAAACAAGTGGAAAGACATACTATGTTTTTGAATTAAAAAAAAAAAAAATCCAACATAACAAAAATTCTGACACCAACTTTCCCTATGTTAACTGGTCAAGTTAACATGATCCTAATTTAAGTATCAATAGTTTCTTTTTTTTTAAGCTCTAAACAAGTAAATTCTAAAATTAACATCAACTTTAGGACATATACCCAGCTAGGAAAAACTTGAAAAAAATAAAATAATGTGCAGGGGAGAGAGAAACTTTCCATTTAAGATAGCAAAGCATTTAAAAACTACAGTAATTTAAAACAGTGGGACACTGTTGCCCTAGAACAAACAGGTGAGTCTCAAAGTGGAAGAAAATTCAAGAGTACACTCAAATACGTATGGGACTTCATATCCAATAAGTGGAATTTTAAATCAGTGGAGAAAAAATGAATTATTCAACAAATGGTGTTGGTACAACTAAGTAGGCACCTGGAAAACATGAAATTGGTTCCACTCTTCTAACACCAAAATAAATTCTAAGCAAATCATTAATGTTATCTCTAAGAATTTATACTAAATCTCAAGGAAGACTTTCAATGTGTAACACAATCCCCAGAAGCCATACATAAAAAGACTGATAAATGGATTACATAAAAAAATGTTTGCATGTCTCTGTGACTGCAGTATGTGTGCATTCTAGAATTTACAACTGTAACTTCAACATTTAATAAGCATTTTTTTATTGTCAGAATGTTTTAAGTTTAAAAAGTAAAAATCACAAATAAGATCAAAGAGGGGTCTGGGTGGCTCAGTCGCTAAGTATGTGCCTTTGGCTCAGGTCACGATCCCAGAGTCCTAGGATTGAGCCCCACACTGGGCTCCCTGCTCAGTGGGGAGCCTATTTCTCGCTCTGCCTCACCTGCAACTCCCCCTGCTTGTGTGATGCTCTTCCTCTCTCTGTCAAATAAGTAAAATCTTACAATAAATAAATAAAAATTTTTTTAAAAACCACAATGTTTGAAAGGAATGCTGATAAACTGATGAAACTGGGTGACTGATACATTATACTTCCTTACGTTTTTAAGTTCTTAAAAATTTTCGTATTAAAAAAATCCGGGGCACCTGGCTGGCTCAGTGTATAGAGCATGTGACTCCTGATCTTGGAGCTGTAAATTTAAGCCCCGCATTGGGCATAGAGATTATTTAAAAATAAAATCTTACCCCATACCCAAAAAACCAACCAAAAAGAAGTCTGCAAAAAAAAAAAGAACACACACAAAAAGAGTCAAAAGACAAAAAGTAGGAAAAAATATATGCAACTCCTTCAAAGACATACACAACACAGAGTTCCTCCAAATCTCTAGGAAAAAGATCAACAACACAACCAGAAAAATGACTAAAGAATACAAAGTCAGTGGCGTCTGGGTGGCTCAGTGGGTTGGGCCTCTGCCTTCGGCTCAGGTCATGATCTCAGGGTCCTGGGATCGAGCCCCGCATCAGGCTCCCTGCTCAGCAGGGAGCCTGCTTCCCTTCCTCTCTCTCTCCGCCTGCCTCTCTGCCTACTTGTGATCTGTCTGTCAAATAAATAAATAAAATCTTTAAAAAAAAAAAAATTAAAAAAAAAAAAGAATACAAAGTCATTTCACAGAGAAAGGAATACAAAAGGCTTCTAAGTATATGAAAGATATTTAACCTTACTTGTCATAAGAGAAATTAAAACCATTCAGGGTGGTTGGGTTATGGACATTGGGGAGGGTATGTGCTATGGTGAATGCTGTGATGATGGTTCATAGACCTGTACCCCTAGGGCAAATAATACATTATATGTTAGTAAAAAAAAAAAAATTCTGTGATACCATCTTCCACCCATCAGATATACAAGAATCCACTGCCTCTGTTGTCTGCCCTCACATAAGGACTACTGGTCTTCAACTATCCCTTTGAGAAAAGAGATTCTAAATCAACTTTCCCAAAAATAAATAAATTAATTAACTCTTCCACAGTGTAGCTGCACAGTGAGATAAATTATCATGGGTATTGGAAACATAAACAAGTGGGTGCCAAGAAACCTTTAACATAGTGGCTGGTGATCAAATCCACATAGTTATCTTCAGGCTTCCCAAAGACAGTGATGACTGAGCTAAAGAAGTTTCTATGTTTGGCAAGAAAATGTTTCATAAAAAGGTAATAAAAGAAATGCCCTGGGACGTGAAGAAAGATGGTGCTTTCTAGAAACTGAAAGATGGCCAATATGGTTAGAGAGTGAGGCACACCGTGAGATCAGAGATAGAAATGGGCCAGACAAATAGAGGGCCTCTAAGGTTCTGGTTTTCTTCCTAAAAGCAATGGATAGCTTTATGCGTTATGGTAATACTGATGATGATACTACTATTACTATTTTACAGAACAGGAAACTCATTCACAGAAATAATAAATCCCAACTCAGGTCCCAAAACTGTTAAAGGATACAGCTGGGATCCAGATCTGTAGGACAATTTTGGCTTTTTTTTTTTTTAAGCCATTACCAAAGAACTATGAATGGGCTTCCTGACTAATGTCTATCAATTTTCATCTAGAACAGCTGAAAATGAGAATCCAAAACCAGTTTTAGCTGGATTATTAATGGTGAAAAGTATTAGAACTGTCTTTATATAAAGAGTCTAAAGAAAGAAACAGAAATGGATCTGTTGTAATATGGCCATCTTATTTGCTTGATAATTCTATCTTACCTCGGAGGTATAATTTTGACAATCATCTCCTGAAGTGAGCAAACTTTTTTTGGGAGGAGGAACCTGGTCACTTTCTTCAAGCATACAGTGAAATCTCTTCCTAGATATAAGATCCAAATTAGCAGGAGGAGGCTCTTCAGAATCATCTTTTCCAGGATCAGATAAACACATGGTATTCAGACCAACTGAAGTTACTGGAAAACTCACACTGTATAGAAAATGCATACATATGAAATTAGCAAATTAGAAGCTACTTAATGAGGTAAAAGGTTGAACTATTCCAGTGAAAACTGCCAAAAAAACTTCCAAGTAACTAATATATATATATATAGCCATAGTCACAAAAATGTTTGTTTTGAGAGCCATTCATACTCAAAAACTCACAACTTAAATTCCATAATACTAAATTAAATCCAAGGTATAAAAATAGTGTTTTCCTTATCTAGAAAGTTAAAATTTTAATCTAAAATGCCTCTTACTTATATAAAAGGCTAACATCTAATGCTACTTGACAGAGAACTAAGCATCTTAACCAGTGACTGTTAAAATACAACAATTCTCTAGTAAGGAATTTTAAAAGCAGTATTAAAATATATAGAAATGGGGCGCCTGGGTGGCTCAGTTGGTTAAGTGTCTGACTCTCGATCTCAGCTCAGGTCTTGATCTCAGGGTTGTGAGTTCCAACCCCACGTTGGGCTCCACATTGGGCATGGAAGCCTACTTGAAAAAAAAATACACACACACACACACACACAGAGAAACATCCTTCTGGCAATTTCTGTGAATATGTATTTATTTCAGAATTTAAAATATATTAAGCTTACAAAGTAACCACACACCTTTGATAGACAACATTTTACAATCCGAACAGCTAAATTTTTTTAGCTTTCAAAATGCTTAGGATACCAAATAAGTTTCACACAAAAGTATTATACATTTAAATGGCAGCTCTATCAGGTATAAAATCAACAATTTCTTCTCTAACTTATCACATAATTATTAAATAAGAGCTTTGAGATAATTATAAATAATGCTGGTGAACAATTTACTCAGTTAATACTATTCAACTCATAAAGCACCTTTCCTCCTAGCAAAAAGAGTTCAGTTCCCAGGTGATGTATGGAAGTGTTGAATCACCATAATGTATACCAGAAACTAACACTGCACTGTATGATAACTAACTGGAATTTAAATAAAAAGTAAAAAATAAATAGTTTAGCTTATTCATTACCTCATGTCACTCCTTTCTTCTGTATTCACGGATTTGATCAATATGGGTGCTGGCAGTAAAGGGTTTGGCATTAACTGTGCACTGGTATCACTAAATTCTTCTACAGCATTGGTTGGGATTTCCACCAGAGTTAAAATGAATGCTTGTTCATCCTCACCATCTTGATGTACATTAGCAACTAGATTCACTATCAAAGTTTGAAAGTTAATCATGAAAAGCTGAACTATGAAAATCATTAATTTATTAATTTATTACATTTCTAAAAAGTCTCACTATAACTTATCCCATGAATAAAAAGCAAATTATACCCACAAAAATAAAAAGTAATTTCATAAAGGATAAAAAGTTCACTATAGAGAAGATTTTTAATTCGGAATAATAACACTTATACACAAAATACTTCAAGTTTTTCGTTTGTTTTTAATTTAAGACTGTCATAGACTAAAAAACTATTTTGTTTTTCCATAGTCAAATGGGGTAGAGGAATAAAAGCTGTACTATTAGGTTTGGTGATACTTTATCGAAGATTATCATACCTGTTAAGTCTTGAGAACTGATTACATTCTCTTGTTGGACTTCTGGCATACTAGTTAGTGTATCCTAAAAAAATTTAAAAAGTTAAAATACAAGAATGAAGTTGACCAAATTTTTATTTATTTATTTATTTATTAAGATTTTATTCATTTGACAGAGAGAGACAGATAGTGAGAAAGGGAACGAAAGCAGGGGTAGTGGGAGAGAGAACAGGTTTCTCACTGAGCAGGATGCCCAATGAAGGGCTTGTTCCCAAGACCCTGGGATCATGACCTAAGCCCAAGGCCGACAACTGAACCACCAAAGCACCCCTAATTCTAGTTTTAAAAAGTTTTCCAGACAATTGGATATAGTAAGAGTTACTGCTTCAAAACTCAACTTTTTAACCATATACAATTTTTCAAATGTTCTGAAACTTTTAGTTATACAAATAACTTTTGATTATTTAAATATATATGTACAAAGGAATTCAGACTAAATTGTTAAATACATGAACTTTATAAAATTATTTTTAAAGTAACAGGAAAGGGAGATTCAAACCCCTCAACCTTTCCTCTATCCCCATTACAGCAGCTCTTGTCCTATCTGAATGGAAGCAAACTGCCTGTCTCCTCGCCACCAGCACAGCTCCTTCCAATCTGTTCTCCAGAAAACTGCCAACACTGTATTCTCTAAAATGCAATTCTTACTGTAATTCTTTACTGCTTAAAATTTTCAAACTCTCCTTTTGTAACCAACAATGTCAGTAATCGATTCAGGCAAGCATCACCAATGGATACTAAAACTACTGGGGAGAAGGTGTCTGGGTCTTAAATTGCTAACACAATGTACAAAAGATGCTGTTTAATGTAGAAATCTAGCAGGCACCATGCTAGCCAAGTAATTAGTCCACATCACCAACAATGAAACAAGCTGACAGCACATGCCTGCTGAGGGGATACAAAAGGAAGAACACAACAACACCTAAGTAGTTCAATCTGTATCTAAAATGAGGAACAAAGCACAAAAACCAGATTATGAATTAGCTTGCAATGTCAAGCTCACAAAAGAGGGAAGAGTGCAGGGGACCTACTCTAGATGAAAAGAGAGTAAAGAGAATGACAACTAAACGCAGTATGAGAGCCCTGGTTGAAACTATGTATTACATATAATTTTAAAATCAGTATTAGATAATATGGTAATACTGACTGTGACAACAGTATCATCATTTCTCTATTAAAAACATCCTTGTTGGTATCGAATATAAGCTGGAATATGTATGAATGAAGGCTCATGTCTGCTCTCAAATGGCTCAGTTTCTTGAAAGTATCTATCTACAGAGATGGAGAGCATGACAGAAAAGGCAAATAAGCAAAATGTTAATGATTAATTAATCTAAGTAAAAGTTATATGAGAATTCTATTTAAGATCTTTACAACTCTTCAATGAGTTTGAAATTATTTCAAAATAAAAAGTAAAACAAGTTGGGGGTTAGGGAAAGTCCCATACATTTGGATATACTCCAAATTCTTGCAAGTCATAAAAACCCCTTTTATGATCCGCTCTCAGGTTGCCTACCTCACTCATCTTAAACTACTTCTTCATTTATATCCTACTCATAACTACTTATCCCTGAACATGAAATGCTGTTTCATACTTATTCTTAACACATGTTCTTCTCCCTTCAACTGGCTAATTCATATCTGTTCTTCTAGATCAAGGGCTTTTTCAGTCCTGGCTACACATCAGAATAACCTGAGGAATTTTAACAACAGCAACAGAAAGCAAATGTCTAAACCCTATTTCCGGAGACTGATTTTACTGGACTGGGTTGAGGACCACCCTTTTAGTGTCTTGTGCAACTTGCTTTCACAGCACCTACCAGAGTTTAACCATTCTTATCCTCAACAATTTCTCACAACTCTGTCCCTCCAGTACCTTACGCGGTACCGAACATGTAGTAATAACACCTCAAAAAAATACCTGCAATGTGAAAGCAGTTCTCAGATTCAGTGGCCCACAAGCAAGAGGTAAACACTGTACAAAACCCTTTTTCAAAACTTTCACAGCAAAGCTACGTATTGGCTGTTTTATCTGTGCTCAAAAGACTAAAAACACACTCAATAAAAAATTCTATCACAATACATTCTTGCAAAGGAAAAACTGTAAGGAAAGAAAACAGATAAGGGATCACCAAGTAGCCAGGGTGCTAAAGGGGGGTGGGTGTATAAAAAAGGGCCCTGGGGAATCTGGGGGATGATGGAACTGCTCATGTGTTGTTTACATGACTATATGTTTGTCACAACTTGTACAAGTACACACTTAAGAAGGTGAAGTTTATTGTATGTAAATTATACCTTATTTTTTTTTAATGGGGAATAAACACCCAGCCACCCCATGTTATATTTTATTTTCTTTTACCTCTGACATATGAAGAGCAAGCACATTGTCTCCTTTAGAGTCCTTTCCCTGGGGCTCTTCGACAGAACTCTCAGGGAGAACCACATCTGAACCAAGTATATGGGGTCTTGTCTCAAAGGAAACTGGAGCAACTGATGATATCTGAACCTTTTGAGATTCCTCTTCCTGATCATCATTTCTGAAAAAGAGATTAGTACATATTTGAATTTCAGAGTATGTATTAAAGTTCTGTACTGAAACCAAGTGGACAACTACAGAGTAATGTTTAGAGTTGTGAGTCGAAGATTTAATGGTGTTCAAGTTTCTAAAATATATTTAATGCAACAGAACCCTCCTTTTCCAATCAAACAGCTATAGCTACAGCTAATGACTATAGTTGAAACAGAATTTATACCAAATACCAGAATTTCTCTTTTTACCTTTCAGTTAGATTTGCTTCTTGAGAAATAGCAGTCTCTCCAATACCATGTTCACAAGCCAATTTGCTCTGCTCCTTACTCTCTGCTGTTCTAAGTGATCCAAGGTTTTCATCTTGTAATTCCGTTGCTTCAGAAATATTTTTCTCAGTTTCTTAAACAAAAAATACACTTAAGATATAGTCCAAAACAGCACAGCTAAAACCTCCATATTAGTTAGAAATATGTTCTCTCTTTAAAGACTGATCACTATATAGTGGCTCTTCCAAATTTCTCTTAATCCAAAAATCAAACTTACACACAGCAGTAAGAGTGGTCCTGGCCGATGAGATTTTTGAGGCAGATGATTAACGAATCCTACACTGTACATATTTCACTCATGGCTGCCATAGCAATTTTATGTCCACTCCATGGTGACAGCAGTGTAATTACAAACCCACATATAAAAGAATTTTAGAACTGGGTACACATGAGGTCTGGCTAGTTCCACCTTGGGCAAAGTGTTAGGGAGGGAGCTATTCTAAAAACAATGTCACAAAGAAGAAGAAAATGACTTCTACATAAAAGAGTTACCTTCAAATCGCTATCAAAATACCAACAGCATTTATCACAAAACTACACCAAATAATACTAAAATTTGTATGGAACCACAAAAAAACTCTGAAGAATATACAATGTGTAAAAGACGTGTCTCTTCAATAAATGGTGCTTGGAAAACTAGACAGCTACCAAAGACTGAAATTGGACCACTTTCTAACTCTATATACGAAATATAAACTCAAAATGGATTAGAGAGCTAAACATGAGACCAAACCATAAAAATCCTAGAAAAAAACACAGGCAATAATTTCTCTGACATCAGCTGTAGCAACATTTTTCTAGATATGTCTCCAGAGGCAAGGGAAACAGAAGCAAAAATAAACTATTGGGACTGACAGCGAAGGAAACCATCCACAAAATGAAAAGGCAACCTACCAATTCAGAGAAAATATTTGCAAATGATACATCTGATAAGGGGTTTGTATCCAAAATATATAAAGAACTTATACAATTCAACACCAAAAAACAAAACAATCTAATTAAAAAATGGGCACAGATGGGGCTCCTGGGTGGCTCAGTTAGTTAAATGTCTGAATCCTGATCTCAGGTCTTGATTTCAGAGTCATGAGTTCAAGCCCTGTACTGGGCTCCATGCTGGACATGGAACCTATTTAAAAACAAACAAACAACAACAACAAAAACAAAAAAAAGGGTCTTCCAAAGAAGATATACGGATGGATAATAGATATGAAAAGATGCTCAACATAACTAATCATCAGGGAAATGCAAATCAAAACTACAAGATATCACAACCAGAATGGCTAAATATAAAAACAAAAACAAAACCCAAGAAATAGCAAGTGTTAATGAGGATACAGAGAAAAAGGAACACTTGTCCACTAATGGTGGGAATGTAAATTGATGTAGCCACTGTGGAAAATAGTAGGGATGTTTTTCCAAAAATCACAAATAAAAATACATATGATACAATAAATTCTAGTACTAAGTATTTACACAAAGAAAATGAAAAGACGGATTCCAAAGATATATGTACCACCCCAAAATTTACTGCAGCATTATTTACAAGAGCCAAGATATGGAAGAAACCTAAGTGTCCATCAGTACATGAATGGATAAGGAAAATGTGGTATATATACACAATGGGATATTACAAAGCCATTAAAAAAGTTGTAATTGGGCTGTTTGTGAACTGGATGGACCTAGAAGGTATTATGTTAAGTGAGGTAAGTCAAACTGAGAGAGACAAATACCATATGATTTCCCTCATATATGGAAACTTAAGAAAGCAAATAAATATACAAATGAAGAGAATAATCGACCTATAAATACAGAGAACAAACTGATGGCTTCCATAGGGGAGGGAGTAGGAAGACAGACAAAATAGGAGGAGATTGGGAGATACAGGGTTCCAGTTATGGAATGAATAAATCACGGGAATAAAAAGCACAGCATAAGGAATAGTCAATGGTACTATAATAGCATCATATAGTGAAAAATGGTAGCTCTACTTGTGGTGAGCACAGCACAATGAACAAACTTGTTGAATCACTATGTTGTACACCTGAAACTAATATACTGTGTGTCAACCACACTCAAATCAAAAGAAATTTTTAATAAAAATAAAAAAGGTAACTTCAGCCTACACACTGAAATAGCTTTTGGGTACTTCTGAACTCAGAGTAAGTAACGGAATTAACTAACTGAATCATTAAGCATTGCTGGTTGAAAGGAAATCCCAGAAATCAGGAACCCCAAAACAGGGCAAAGATGATGCTAACTATCCAGATCTTCTACCTATAGGGCTTAAGACAATCTAGACAGCCTACTATATACACTGTTTTCCTGCTCTTATTAGCATGTGAAGCAGATGGGCCCTTGGCAGGGAGGGAAGGTGGAAAAAGAAGTAGGAGTAGGATTCAACATGTACACCACAATCTAGTGAGGCCATTAAAAAAAAAAAAAAGAAGAGAACGCTAGGTAATCATACAGAAAGATTTTTTTCAATATACTAATCTTTAAAAACAGAGTGCTACTGGGGGACCTGGGTGGTTTAGTCCATTATGTGTCTGCCTTTGGCTCAAGTCATGACCTCAGAGTCCTGGGATCGAGCCCTGCATCAGGCTCCCTGCTTAGCAGGGAGTCTGCTTCTCCCTCTGCCTCTGCTCCTTCCCCCTGTTCATTCTCTCTCTCTCAAATAAATAAATAAAATCTTTAAAAACTCGGGGCGCCTGGGTGGCTCAGTGTGGTTAAAGCCTCTGCCTTTGGCTCAGGTCATGATCCCAGGATCCTGTACTCAAGCCCCGCATCAGGCACTCTGCTCAGCAGAGAGTCTGCTTTCCCCTCTCTCTCTGCCTGCCTCTCCGCCTACTTGTGATCTCTGTCAAATAAATAAATAAAATCTTCTAAAAAATAAAAATACATAAATTAAAAACAGAGTGCTACAATATAAAGAACTCAGTAATAAAACAAGTTTCCCAATACAAAAATGAGCAGATTTAGAGCACCTGGGTGGCTCAACTGGTTAAGTATCCAACTCTTGATCTCAGCTCACGTCTTGATCTCAGGGTCATAAGCCCCGTGTTAAATTAAAAAAAAAAAAAAAAAAAATGAGCACAGACGTGAACACATGTCTCTAAAGAAAAAATAAAAATACGCACATAGAAAGATACTCAGTATCAATAGTCATGAAAGAAATTCAAAACAAAACCAGGAGGTACTTCAAACTGACTAGACTATCTAATAACAAGTGTCTGAGAGGATAAAGAGAAAGCAAAACCCTCACAAAATGTTGATGAAAAGACACAATATTGGGCCACCCGGCTGGCTCATTCAGTAGAACATGTGACTCTTGATCTCAGGGTTATAAATTCAAGCCCCACATTGGGTACAGAGATTACTTAAAAATAGCCCCTCGTCCGGTCCGTCCCGTCACATCCCGTCTTGTCCCGTCCCCTCGGGTGCCAGTGCCGATGAGCACTGGCGGCAGCGGGGCTTTTTTCTTACTCCTGGTCCCTTCTCCAGCTGCCCTTCCTGACCTGTCGCAGGGCCGGCCGCTTCTCTGGCCCCAGGATGCAGAATGTGATTAACACGGTGAAGGGAAAAGCACTGGAAGTGGCTGAGTATCTGACCCCAGTCCTCAAGGAATCAAAGTTTAAAGAAACAGGTGTTATCACCCCAGAAGAGTTTGTAGCAGATGGAGATCACTTAGTCCACCACTGTCCAACATGGCAATGGCTACAGGGGAAGAACTGAAAGTGAAGGCATACCTACCAACAGGCAAACAATTGTTGGTTACCAAAAATGTGCGATGCTACAAGCGGTGCAAACAGATGGAATATTCAGATGAACTGGAAGCTATCACTGAAGATGATGATGGTGATGGGGGATGGGTAGATACTTATCATAACACAGGTATTGCAGGAATAACTGAAGCATTTAAGGAGATTACATTGGAAAGCAAGGACAGTATAAAATTTCAAGATTGCTCAGCAATATGTGAGGAGGAGGAAGAAGATGATGAAGGAGAACCTGCAGATATGGAAGAATATGAAGAAAGTGGATTGTTGGAAACAGATGAGGCTACCCTAGACACAAGAGAAACAGGAGAAGCTTGTAAAACTAAAACTGATGCTGGAGGTGAAGATGCTATTTTGCAAACAAGAACTTATGACCTTTATATCACTTATGCCCTTTATATCACTTATGATAAATATTACAAGACAACATGATTATGGTTGTTCAGCTATGATGAGCAAAGGCAGCCTTTAACAGTTGAACACATGTATGAAGACATCAGTCAAGATATGTGAAGAAAACAGTGACCACTGAAAATCACCCTCATCTCCCACCATGTGTTCAGTTCACCCATGCAGGCATGCTGAGGTGATGAAGAAAATCACTGAGACTGTTGCAGAAGGAGGGGGAGAACCTGGTGTTCATACGTATCTTCTAATTTTCTTGAAGTTTGTATAAGCTGTCATTCCAACAATAGAATATGACTACACAAGATACTTCACAATGTAACGAAGAGAGCATAGAATCTATCCTAATTATTGTTTGTTTAAACAATTAACCCCTAGATGTGACCACTGACCATATTCACCAATATGTATAATTTCTCTAATAAAAGGACTTATATGTTTATGCATTAAATTAAAAAAGTTCCACTACCAGACTTATTTAATAAAAATGAGTGTAAAGAAAAAAAAATTTTCTTTAAAAAAAAAAAGAAAGGAAAAAAACAAAAGAAAATACAAAACGTTGCTACCACTTCTGAAACATTTTGGCAGTTTCTCAAAGGTTAAACATGGAATTACCATATGTTCCAGCAATGCCACTTGTAAGTGTAAATCCAAGACAAAGGAAAACTTACGTCCACACAAAAACTTACAAATGAATGTTCTCAGCAGCATTCCTTACAATAGCTAACACACAGAAAACCACCTAAACGCCCTGAATGGATAAATAAAATGTAGTATGATGGAATATTTGGTAAGCAAAAGAAATATCTGATACATGCTACAACACAGATGAGCCTTGAAAACATGCTAAGTAAAAGAAACCAGACACAGAAGACCACATATTATATGATTCCTTCAATATGAAACATCCAAAATAGGCAAAGTTACAGAGACAAAGTAGATTAGTGGTTGCCTAGGGCTGGGAAGGGTATGTGGAGTTGCTACTAATGAAGAAGATTACACAACTTGGGCAATATACTAAACGCCACTGCAGTAAACATTTCAAATGGGTTAACTGTATGATACAGAATTATCTCAGTGAAACTGTTATTTTCAAAAGTACTGAACAGGGGCGCCTGGGTGGCTCAGTCCTTAAGCGTCTGCCTTCAGCTCAGGTCATGAACCCAGGGTCATGCAGGAAGCTTGCTTCTCCCTCTCCCACTCCCCTTGCTTGTGTTCCCTCTCTTGCTATGTGTGTGTGTGTGTCTCTCTCTGTGTCAAATAAATAAATAAAATCTTAAAAAAAAAAAAAAAAAAAAAAGTACTGAACAAAGGGTGCCCGCATAATGCAGTGGGTTAAGCATCCAACTCTTGGTTTCAGCTCAGGTCATGACCTCAGGGTCATGGAATTGATCCCTGAGTAGGGCTCCAGGCTCAGCCAGGGTCTGCTTGGGACTCTCCCTTCCTCTCCCTCTGCCTCTCCACCAGGCACTCTCTCTCTCTCTCAAATAAATAATCTTAAAAAATAAGTAAATAAATAAATGTGCTAAACAGTATATACGATATAGTATGCTCATAATTTTGTTCTTTCTGAAAGGAATGACATATATTTAAATGTTATATTTAATATATGATATATTATATGTTATTTAAATATATTGACAAATATATTAATATTTATTATATATTAATATTTAAATACATGTGTTTATATATATACTGATGTATCTATCTATGTACACACAGTCCCACATTTAGATGCTTATGTCTATAAAATAATGGAAGTCCATGAAAAAAACTTAATGGCAATTTACCACTAGAGATGAGATTGGGGACTGGGAACCAAAGAAGTTTATTAAATTCTATAACTTGGGGACAATGTCTTATTTTTTACCACATGCATGTATAGCTTTTTAAAAACTGTTTGCTTGAATATTCACGTACACACACACACACACAAAATATGACAAAAACGTTAAGTAAATATAGTTAACTCTTGTACAACATGGGGGTTAAGGGCACAAAGCTCCCATGCGGTAGAAATTCTGCATATCTCAATCTCAAAAAACCTGACAACTAACAGTCTGCTGTTGACCAGATGCCTTACTGATGATTTAAGTCGATTAACATATATTTTCTAACTTTTATGTATTAGATATTATATTCTTACAATAAAGTAAGCTCAAACAAATAAAATGTTATTAAGAAAATGCTAAGGAAGAGATGCCTGGGTGGCTCAGTCAGTTAAGCATCTGCCTTTGGCTCAGGTTATGATCTCAGGGTCCTGGGATCAAGCCCCACACAGGGCTACCTGCTCGGCAGGGAGTCTGCTTCTCTCTCTCACTCTCCCTCTGTGCTCTCCTCTCTCTCAAATAAATAAGTAAAATTTAATTTAAAAAAAGAAAATCATAAGAAAAAGAAAATACATTGATAGTACTGTACTGTCTTTATCAAAAAAACTCCATGTATAATTAAGTGTAAGCTTACATACAAGAGGTATCTGGATGTTCTTTGTACTATTTCTTATTCTTGTAAGTTTTCTGTAAGTTTGAAATTATTTCCAAATAAAACATATTTTAAAGATTTTATTTATTTATTTGACAGACAGAAATCACAAGTAGGCAGAGAGGCAGACAGAGAGAGAGGAGGAAGCAGGCTCCCTGCCGAGCAGAGAGCCTGATGTGGGGCTCGATCCCAGGACCCTGAGATCATGACCTGAGCCGAAGGCAGAGGCTTTAACCCGCAGAGCCACCCAGGTGCCCCAATAAAACATATTTTAAAACTTAAAAAAAAAAATCCATGTATGGAGCACCTGGGTGGCTCAAGCAGCTAAGCATCTAACTCTTGATTTCAGCTCAGGTCATGCTCTTGGGGTCAAGATCAAGCCCCACATCAGGCTCCATGCTCAGCACGGACTCTGCTTGGGATTCTCTCTCTCCTTCTTCCCTCTCCTACCTGCTATATATAAATAAATAAAATCTTTTTTTAAAATCCATGTATTGTGGACCCATGGGGTTCAAACCCATGTTATTTTGGGTTTTGGGTCAACTAAACAGAAAAATGGTAATAATGACTGAAGCTAGTTGATGGATTTATTGGTATTTCTTTTTTTTTCTTTTTTTTTTTATTGGTATTTCTTTTATAGCTCATTCTACTTTTTGAAACTTTTTAATACTAAATTAAAATAATTTTAAATGAATATTCCATTTGAAATGCTAATGTGATTTCTCTTGTAAATATAATTTTGTAGCTGTTTAAGGGAACAAAATTTACCTCTTTGACTTTCTACCACTTCTCCTTTGTTTATAAACAAATTGGGAACTTCCTGATGAACACCAAACCTACTGGTCCCTGAAGTCTTAAGATTTGGTTTAGGCTTGGCAAATCTACTTCTTATTCTCAAATTACTGGTCACTTCAGAAGTTGTATTCCTAGAAGAAAGATGGGAAGAGAAAAATCCATCAACCATGTAATAACTATCTCTCTCACCTTCAGACATTCTGATACAGTTATGTGCTACCTTCTTAGGTGCCACAATATCCGTAAGTGTTCATTTTTTAATGCAGAAAATATACAGTGGCAATTTTACTGCAAGTCTGGAGAAGGGAAGAGAATCTGGACCATGTTTATAAAACAGAGACCATATTTACAGAAAACTATTTCATTAAAGCTTCAAAGATGCACATATTACATTTACTTTAATATGCAAACCATTAAGGGCGCTCAGCTGGCTCAGTGAGTAGAGCATGTGGCTCTTGATCTCCTGAGTTCAAGCCCCACGTGGGGTGTGGGGTCTACTTAAAAAAAATGTATTAGGGAAAAAAAAAAAGTGCAAGCCATGGGTGCCTGGGTGGCTCATTCAGTTAAGTATCTGCCTTTGGCTCAGGTCATAATCCCAGGGTCCTGGGATGGAACCCCGTGTCAGGCTTCCTGCTCAGTGGGGAGTCTGCTTATAACTCTTCCTCTGCCTCTTCCCCCTGCTCATGCTCTCTCTCTCTCTCTCTCACAAATAAAATCTTAAGAAAAAAAAAAGCAAACCATGAAACTAAAATCAAACCAGCCTATCCTCTCACTTTAAAGGCTGAGAAACTGGGGCACCTGGGTGGCTCAGTTGGTTAAGTGTCTGCCCTATGCTGAGGTCACAATCCCGGAGTCCCAGGATCGATCCCCAAATCAGGCTCCCTGCCCAGTGAGGAGTCTGCTTCTCCCTCTCTCCTGCCCCTCCCCTTGCTCCTTCTGTCTCTCTCTTGCTCACACTCCCTCTCCCTCAAATAAATAAATACTTAAAAAAATAAAGGCTGAGAAATCAGCAATGCCTACTTTACACTTACACAAGTATTACTCAAAAGCTATTAACTAAAATGATAGTTTAAATATATTTATTAATTGAATACTGTAAAACTCAAGAGTTTAATAAAGCAAAATAAACCTGGTTGATACAGCGTTTTCCTTTACTTTCTCCACTAAACCAATTTCTTCTTTAGTACTTTGCTCTTCCAATACAATCTTGTTTTCTTCTAATGAAGAAGGAGATGTACTATTGACAGGTGAAGAAAGCTCCTGACATTCACGAACAATTTTGTGATTTACATTATCTGGGCTAAAAGGAACACAGCTTTTATCCTTTGAATGAACATCAAGAAGTACACATACTCCTATTACAGAAAAGAACAGAAAATTAAAATTGACCCAATACAAGTAGACATCCAAAGAAAATAAATCCCTCAACATTAAGCAACTATAAAATTCTATATTACTTTTTAAAGTTTACTCTTTTTCATTCTGAATTTAAATACATGATCAGGGCGCCTGGGTGGCTCAGTCAGTTAAAGGTCTGTCTTTGGCTCAGGTCATGATCTCAGGGTCCTAAGATCTTCTCCCTTTTCCCTTCTCCCCTGCTTCTCCCTCTGCCCTTCCCCCCTATACATATGCTCTCTCTCTCTCTCAAAAATAAATAAAATCTTTAAAAAATAATAAATATGATTATATATTTTATGCCAGAGATTTGACTTGTTCTAGGCCAAATCATTCTTACAGACTAGAATTCTTGTGCTATCAGAAGTAAAAATGAGGGACGCCTGGGTGGCTCAGTCAGTTGGGGGTCTGCCTTCAGCTCAGGTCATGATCCCAGAGTCCCAGGATCACGTCTCACTTCAGGCTCCTTGCTCAGCAGGGAGCCTGCTTCTCCCTTTATCTGTGCTCCCCCTGCTGTGCTCTCTCTCTCTCTCTGACAAATAAATAAATAAAACCTTAAGGGGAAAAAAAGGAAGTAAAAATGAATCTGTTATCTTGACTAACTACACAGCCTCAAATGAGTTTCAAGATAGGATCACCTTCATTCACAAATTTTTAAAACCTGTTTTTATGTTCTAGAGATTTGTGACAGGTGCTGTCACAAAAGTAATACTCTGCCGTTGAGAAAGGCGCTGTATACCGGCACCTGCCTGGCTAAGTCAGTAGAATATGTGACTCTTGATCTTGGGGTCATGAGTTCAAGCCCCACACTGGGTATACAGTTTGCTCAAAAAAAAAAAAAAAAGGAGAGAGAGAGAGAGAGAGAAAGAGAGAAATGAGACTCTGTAAGGAAAACAGACCAGAAAATTTCCTGATAAATATATAGTTATGGGGCTAGAAGTCTAACACCTAAAACAAATGGCAGGCCACTCATCTCCAGATAAAATAATTAACAGGACTATAGTTAACTATCCATTTAGTAGACTTAAAATAGAAGGTACTCCATAAGCTCAGCCTAAAATACTGTGAAAATCTGAGTTGACATATCTTTTGGCTCAGTCCAAACTAACAGAATAGTTGCAATTAAATTATTTCAATGACTGCTATTGTTCCTTCATACTATATGTGATTATCAGTTAACTGTGAAGACAATCCAAAGCAGAAGTCCCTTTGCTAAGGAAATATGTGTTAAATGATCAGTGATCAATGGGTTCAGTTAATCAACGTTTATGATGAGAAAAGTAAAGGACTCACTAGATTGTTCCAGGAATAGAAAGTTTTCTTAATAAACCAAGTGCACTGTTTTGAAATGGTGGCCACTACATCTAAAGGGACTAAGTTAGACGGATCAATGCACACAATATTACCTTTTTCTGGGGGAAAAAAATGAAGTTGGCAATGCCAACTTCAAATGTAAAAGGCAGGTACTGACTTATTACTCAGCTGTGGGTATAATTTCTTAAAAGCTGTACTTTAAAAGGCTTTTCTCAGTTAAGACTTAACTTTCATTCTTACCATCACTCTGTTCTGCCCCGATCTCTGACTGCAACACTAGATCTCCCATTGCAAGTAACGTTATAGCAGCTTCAGTGCTTCCATCACTGGTACCTTGTGAGGAAATACACCAACATTAAAACAGAAAAAGGAAGCTGAAAATTGAAGTTTGTTTACTTATAAAACATTTTTAATTCAAGCATTTATTCTCTAGTAACAAGTTTCAATATCCTGCCTACCATTAATTCCTTACAGCAGTACTGGTTACTACAAAATAAGAAATCATTAATTGTTAGCTTTTACTCATTGAAAATTCCTTCCTCCTACTAAATAACTTAATACCTTCAGAGAAAATACATCTGGGCAGAACAGAGGAAGTAAGTAATATTTCTTTATTAAACATTTAACTCTTAACTCACTTCATAAAGTAATTATTCCAAGAATCCAAGTTTCTCCTAGGGGTAATATATACAACAGTTAAAACATTTTGTTCAACTCTCCAGTGAAATTACTCACTTGCTAACTAACACCAATACTAAATCACTTTGTTAGTGTTAACCAAGTAGTTTTATCAGTTTCCTTATTAACAGTTACCTGTTTCATCTTGGGTATGTTCATCTGTGTTCATTTCCTAAAAGAGGAAAAGATAAGCAATGTCTTACATGTATTTTCCCAAATATATGTTCTGTGTCTCAAAATCCATGATGTTTTACAGTTCTTCAATGTTTCTGATTACAAAGGAGTGCAAACTGTTTTCTCCCTATACAATTATTTATTGTTTCATACAGAAGTAATTTAAAAGCCAAGTTATTTTGTCTCTTGCTCCTTATTTTACCTTTTCCTTGTATTACATGCAAATTTTTTTAAAGATTTTATTTATTTATTTGACAGAGAGATCACAAGTAGGCAGAGAGGCAGGCAGAGAAAGAGAGAGGGAAGCAGGCTCCCCATTGAGCAAAGAGCTCAATGCAGGACTCGATCCCAGGACCCTGAGATCACGACCTGAGCTGAAGGCAGAAGCTTAACCCACCGAGCCACCCAGGAGCCCCTACATGCAAATTTTTAACTCTAATCATATTGCATTTACCATGTGCACCTACCATTCTTAATTTACTCCTTCACTTTCATAATCCTTGAACTTCAGTCGTATCTGTCACTAGTTTTAAACCAGTGGAAACCAAAAACTAAAGAATACTGCCAATTTTTCACACTAGGTGAAAATGAATTTTAACATATTAAAAAGTTACATGATTTATGCCCAATATATCATAAGGAGCTCTGCTAACCCTCTCTTCAGTGAAACTGGTGAAATTTATTAAAAACAAACATTTAAATGGAATTAAATGGAAATGTTCCTAGGGCAAAAGACACATCTTTCTGCGAAAACTGATGAAAATACAGTAACAGAGTAGAGAGCCTGTGGTTTTGAACTAAGACTGCTCTCTCCCCCTCCTTCTTCCCAGCTCAGTGAAGCAGAGACCCCACCTCAGAACCTGCAACCAAGAAAACAGGGTCTTTTCTCCTTGCAGGCCCCAGCTGGAAGGCTTTCTTTCTACAAAGAACAGGACTTCAGCTCCTGACACCACAAGAATCTGGTGTCAGATTCGTAATAGAAAACAGAATTATTTAGTATGAACTTGCACACACAAAAAAATCAATAAAATACCAGCAAACCAAACACAGCAACATATAAAAGTTGGATGCAATTTTTTTAAAGACTTAATTTATTTGACAGAGATCACAAGTAGGCAGAGTGGCAGACAGAGAGCGGGGGGAAGGAGGCTACCTGCTGAGCAGACAGCCCAAGTGGGCCTCGATCCCAGGACCCTGAGATCATGACCTGAGCTGAAGGCAGAGGCTTAACCCACTGAGCCACCCAGGTGCCCCAAGAATTTTTTTATTTAATATCAAAATTCAATGTAATACATGACATCAATACAATAAAAAGGTAAAATCACATGATCATCTCAATAGATGTAGAAAAAGCACAGGACAACATCCAACACCCTTTCATGATAATACTGTTATGTAAACTAGGAAAAGACTAGAACATCTTCAGTTTGATAAAAAAATAAAACAGGAAAAGTCCACAGCTAACATCAAACTTAATGGTGAAAGGCTCAATACTTTCCTCTCAGACCAGTAATGAGACAAAAATGCTCACTCTCACCATTTTTGTTCACCACTATACTGGAGGTTCTAGCAAGGGCAATTAGGTAAGCAGAAATAAAAGACATGCTGGGGCGCCTGTGGCTCAGTCAGTTAAGCGGCTGCCTTTGGCTCAGGTCATGATTCCACAGTCCTGGGATCAAGTCCCTCATCAGGCTCCCTGCTCAGGGAGAGCCTGTTTCTCCCTCTCCCTCTGTCTGCCTCCTGCCTACTTATGTTCTCTCTGTCAAATAAATAAATAAAATCTTTAAAAAAAAAAAGAAAGAAAAGAAAAGAAATAAAAGACATGCTGAGTGAAAAGCACTGTAAGATGGGGCATGTGGGTGGCTAAGGTGGTCAAGCATCTGCCTTCTGCTCAGATCATGATCCCAGGGTCCTGAGATCCAGTCCCGCATTGGGCTCCCTGCTCAGCGGGCACCCTACTTCTCCCTCTCCCTCTCCCCCTACTCCCCCCTGCTTGTGCTCTCTCTCTGTCAGTAAATAAATAAAATCTTTAAAAAAGAGAAAAGAGAAAAAAAAAAAAGAAAACTCAGTTATAAACTGAATTCTTTCACCCAGAAAGATATGTTGAAGTCCTAACCCCAGTAACATGAATGTAACCTTATTTGTAAATAAGACCTTTTTAGATGTAATAAAGTTAACAGGAGGTCATACTGGATTAGGGTTGGCCCTATCCAATATGAGAGGTGTCTTTAGAAGAAAAAAGTCATAGAGATGCACATACAGGGAGATTACCATGTGGCATTGGAGGCAGAAATTGGAAATGTGCTGCCACAAGCCAAGGAATGACAAGGTCTGGTGGCAACTATTAGAAAGTAGGAGAAAGGCCAGAATGGTTTTCCCTCAGAGCCTCCAGAAGGTGGCACCTCGATTTTTGGACCAGCCTCCAGAACGATAAAAAAATAACCTCCTATAATTTTGAACTACCTTGTTCATGGCATTTTGTTATAGCAGCACTGAGAAACCAATACAGAAAGGCAGAACTAAAAACCATCTCTAGTCACATGTCATGATCTCATATGTAGAAAATCCTACGGAATCCACTAAAAAAAAAAAAAAAAAAGGAAAGAAAAAACTATTAGAACTAAAGAGCTCACAATTCAGTACCAGTTAGTTTGTACATTTTAGGAGGCTTTTCACACTATCCATCTATATAATTTATAGTTTGACATGGTATGTTTGTTTAAAAGAATTACATAGTATAAACTCATCAAGGTTACAGAGTATAAACTCACTAAGGATCTGGGGAAGAGAAGAAGCTTAATGTAGAACTAAGCTTTTAAAGTATGTTTATTTTTTAATTCTGATCTTGGTGCAAATGTTAGTTATGCATTATTCATTTCACAATTAGATCACTATGCTGTGACATGGTTTATATTCATGCTGCCCTGAGTACTTCTATAATTATTTGTTGCAAACTTGTGACTGTCCCTATTAACTTTCTTTTATGTAAGTACTTTGTGAATATTTCTTAAATTTTTGCTTATTTAATTCTGAATAAGAGCTAAATTCATTAAAAAAGAAAAAACTAAAGAGTTCAGCAAAGTTGCAGTACGCAAGACCAATATACAAAAACCAATTGTATTTCTAGACACTTGCAATAAAAAACCTGAAAGTGAAACTGAGAAAACAATTCTATTCACAACAGCATCAAAAATAATAACATACTTGATAATAAATTTAACAAAGGAAGTGCACTGCAAAGTATGAAACACTGCTGAAAAAAATCAAAGACAACCTACGTAAATGGGCAAATATCCATGTTCTTGGATTGGAAGACTCAGTATTAAGATGGGACTAGCTCCCTCAAAATGATCTACAGATTCAATGTAATCCCAATCAGAATCTTAGATAATGTCCAGAAACTGACAAATTTTTAAAATTCATATGGAATTGCAAGAGTCCCTCAAAAGCCAAAACAATTCTAAACAAAGAATCAAGTAGGATGACTCACACTTTCCCAATTCCAAAACTTACACAAAGAAACTGCAATCAATGGAGCATCACTGGTATAAGGACAGACATATAAATCAAGGAATAGAGATAAGAATTCAGAAATAAATTCACACGTACAGCTGATTTATTTTTGACAAAAATGCAAGGTAATTCAATGAGGGAAAAACAGTCTTTTCAAAGAAATACTGCAACAACTGTACAGTCACATGTAGAGAATGAAGAACTGTAACATCACACCACATACAAAAATCAATTCAAAGTTGATTAAAGACCTAAATATACAACTCTAGTAAAATCTATAAAACTATTAGAAGTGGGATGCCTGGAGGGGTGCATGGGGGGCTCAGTGGGTTAAAGCCTCTGCCTTCAGTTCAGGTCATGATCCCAGGGTCCTGGGATCAAGCCCCGCATCGGGTTTTATGCTCAGCCGGGAGCCTGCTTCCTCTTCTCTCTGCCTGCCTCTCTGCCTACTTGTGATCTCTGTCAAATAAATAAAATCTTAAAAAAAAAAGAAGAAGTGGGACGCCTGAGTGGCTCAGTCAGTTGAGTGTCTAACTCTTGATTGCGGCTCAGGTCATGATCCCATGGTCATGAGATCGAGCCCCCATGTCAGGCTTCATGTCCAGCTAAAAATTCTCTCCCTCTCCCTGTGCCCCTACCCCCAACCCCTGCTTGTGTGCGCACTCTCTCTCTCAAAAAAATAAGAAATAAATAAAACTATTAGAAGAAAAATTGGAGTAAATCTTGAGGACCTTGGCTTTCACGAAGAAATCTTAGATATTACAAAAAAGCATGAATAACAAAAGAAAAAAGATAAATTGGACTTCATCACAATTAAAAACTTTTGTACTTTAGAGTGAACCATCAAGAAAATTAAAATACAACTTACAGAAGAAAATATTTGCAAATCATATATGTGATAAGAGATTTGTATCCAGACAAACTCAATAATAAAAAGACAAATAGACCAGTAATTTTAAAAAATGGGAAAAGGTTCTGAATAGACATTTCTGCAAAGATGATATAAAAATGGCCAATAACCACATGAAAACATGCTTGATGACATGAGTCATTAGGGAATCCAAATCAAAATCGTTAACAAGGTGCCATTTCGAATCCACTAAGTATGGCTAGATCCAAAAAGTCAAGTAACAAATGTTTGTAAGGATATGAAATTAGAACCCTCATACACTGCTGGTGAGAATGTTAAAATGGTGCAGCAGCTTTGGGAAACATTTTGCTAATTCCTCAAATGATTAAACGTACAGTTACCATATGAGCCAGCAATTGTACTCCTAAGAAGGTATCCAACAGAAATGAAAACGTAATGTCAGTATAAAAACTTGCACGTGAATGTTTAAAGCAGCATTATTTTTAAAAGCCAAAAGATGGAAACAACCTAAATGTCCATGAACACATGAACAGATAGACAAAATGCAGTACTGTCTACATGGAGAGTTATATGACCACAAAAAGGATTGAAGTACTGATACATGCTAGAACATGGATGAACCTGAATGCTAAGTGAAAAATGCCAGGCATAAAAGATCATATTGTAGGAGTCAATTTGTATGAAACATCCAGAATAGAAAATCTATAGAGACAAAAAGTAGATTACTAGTTACCTAAGCCTGGGGAGGGTCGAGAGGAAATGGGGAACAACTGCTTTGAGACCTAAGGTATCATTCTGACATGATGAAATGCTCTAAAATTGACTATTACAATATTTATACCTATCTATAAATATACCAGAAACCAATGAATTACACTTCAGTGGGTGACTTATTTGGCGTGTGAGCTGTATCTTAATGAAGTTGTTAAAAAGGGTGCCGCGCCTGGGTGGCTCAGTCGGTTGAGTGTCTGCCTTTGACTGAGGTCATAATCCCAGAGTCCTGGGATCAAGGCCTGCATTGGGCTCTCTGCTCAGGGGAAGTCTCCCTCTCCTTCCGTGCTTTCTCTACCTCCCTCTCTTTCTCAAATAAATAAATAAATAAAATCTATAAAAAATAAAAAATTTTTAAAAATAAAGTTGTTAAAAAAGTAGAATTTGCTGTCTTCTTCTCCAAAAACAAGAGAAATACTAACCAAATAGGAAAGAGTACCAAACAAAATGCAACTAAATATATTTTAAGTAATTTATATTTAATATAGATTTTTTAAAGATTTTATTTATTTGACACAAAGAGAGAGATCACAAGTAGGCAGAGAGGCAGGTAGAGAGAGAGGGAGAAACAGACTCCCCAGCGAGCAGAGAACCCGACATGGGGCTTGATCCCAGGACTCTGAGACCATGACCTGAGCCGAAGGCAGAAGCCTAACCTTCTGAGCCACCCAGGTGCCCCCATAATAATATAGATTTTATGCAACAGAACTTTAACATAAATTTATGAGGCTCTTAAGAGTTCTTCAGGCACATACACAAAAATCAATGCTTTCCAACTGAAACACAAAATCTATGGATTATTCACCAGTTTCTCCTATTCATACTCACAGTTCCCTACATGATAGAAATTAGCAAGAATGGCTGGTAAACTTAAAGCTTTCAAAATAAACCTCCATTCTTTTGAAAGTAAACAAAAAATTAAAAACAAAACATAATAAAATGGGTGCTTACGACAGATAATGCCTTCAAATTTTCTTCTTGTCTCATCTCCTGAGTAGTCACATCTGTGTTTGACAGTGGATGTTCAACAACAGCTATGCCTATATCTGGTACATTCACAGTTATTTCAAGCTGTCAAAATGAGAAATTTCATTATTTCATTTTGGGATACTAGTTGGTATAACAAAATGACTAAGTAAAATAAAGTGTTAAACTGAATGAACAACCCACATTCATACACAATTAAAAACTGAAATATAGTAACTTGACATCAACTTGGCAAAGTAAAACATTTAAGATTTTGGAGGGGTCTGTGATCCTTACAAACAGTAAACAGAATTTCCAAGGTAATCTTCTTAGTACCTAGCGTTTCCCTGTCTACGATCCCCACTTTGTCTCTATGTTCCCATAATTTCTCTCACCAATCTGTGAACATTTATGCAGCCCTTCCTAAAAACTAGAAGGCTACAGTAGAGATACAAGGGTATAAAGCTGAGTAACTCAAGTGTAGTCCCTACCTTCAAGGAATTCACAATCTGAGAAAAACAGACATGCAATTATCTAACTATACACCATCTTCAGTGCTGTAATAAAGATGAGTTGAAAGCACTTGGAAAAGATTTACCATGCATCCGCCTCTGCACCAAAGCAACTACGCTCTCCCACAACCCCATGATAGCCATGGCCATGGACATGTGAGAAAATTAATTCATTCACATTTTCTCACATAATAGTATTTTTGGTCATAGATCCCTATAATCTGGGGACTAAAGGACTAAGATTTCTCTCCTAGACTGTATACAAGACAATCTGGCTTCTAGTCCCTTACTTACAGAAAGGTAAGTATAAAAACTATGATTCAACAGAAAGTGAGTAAAGAGTCAAGTATGAAAATCTGCCTTCATGATATAATTATTATAGTAACACTTATGTGTTCTATATCTGTTTTCTCAGAAGCAAATATTAGAGAAAAATCTTTGCTACTATCCAGGATGAATGAGAAAGTTAAAGTGACTTGAATAAACAAAATATTTTCTCAAGAGTTGGGAATGGATGACAAATGGAAATACTATAGATATCTGAAAGTTGGTTCTTTAAGGCACTGTCCAGTTTTAAAGCTTTATTTTTTTTTTAAAGATTTTATTTATTTATTTGACAGAGAAAGATCACAAGCAGGCAGAGAGGCAGGCAGAGAGAGAGGAGGAAGCAGGCTCCCTGCTGAGCAGAGAGCCCAATGCGGGGCTCGATCCCAGGACCCTGAGATCATGACCCGAGCCGAAGGCAGCGGCTTAACCCACTGAACCACCCAGGCGCCCCTTAAAGCTTTATTTTTTTAAACAACTTTACCGAGATACGATGTACATACCAAGAACTCACCCACGTAAAGTATATAATTTGATGTTTCTGTAATATGCAGTTATGAACAACCATCACCACAGTCACTTTTAGAACATTTTTATCACTTCAAAAAAGAATCCAATATCCATTAGTTATCACTCTCTTAACCCCTCATCTCCAAATCCCTAAGGCAAACCACTAATCTATTTTCTGTCTCTACAGATTTTTCTGTTTGAGACATTTCATATGAATAGATAATTATGTGATTATATGATTCTTCTGCAACTGACTTCTTTCACTTAACAACGTGCCTTTCAGAGGCACCTGGGTGGCATCTGCCATGGGCTCATGTTGTGATCCCAGGGCGCTGGGATCAGGACCGCCCCCATCGGGCTCCCTGCTCAGTGGGAAGTCTGCTTCTCCCTCTCCCTCTCTAGCTGTCTCTCTCTCACCAAATAAATAAATAAATAAATAAATCTTTAAAACAAAAAAACAATGTGCCTTTCAACCAATGAAAATAGTAAAATACAAAACATAAAACTAAATGAATTCTCATGCTGTGTTAACCAGATGTCCTTGCAAAAAATTAACTTTTCTTTTGCATTTTCTTGGTTTCAAATAAAACGTAAATTCATTATCTTCATCTTAGAACTTTCAGTTATAAGAAATTTCATTTTGCATCATTTTTATTTAGTTTCAACCATTCTAATTCATGAACTTTATAATATCTAGTATGTGATTATTAACAGTGAATAAATAAAGGTGGTTGTGGACTTCCATTCATCATAAATGTGAAGCTACAGATTCAATAATCCATTAATTCTGGATTTAACATTACTTGAATTGGTTTGAGTTTCCTACTTCTTTTGTTATCATCATCACTACTACCTCAGTTAATTCCTAAATTCTGTTGCAAATGACTCAAAAACAATCACAAATGCTTAATACAAAAGAGATGTGGTTGTTTTGCTCTTTAAGCGAAGTAAATTATTAAAAATTGAGGGAAAAACAAAGATGGAATACTAGACCAAGAGGCAAAACAGGAGCGCTTATAACAAAGTAAGTTGAAATATTATGTTCCTCTATCATCTATTCATTAGGATGGCTATTCTGAAAAATAGCCATAATATAAATATAGCCATAAATAAATAAAAGGGCTGGTGAGAATATGGAGAAATCAGAAGCCTTGTATACTACCGACAGGAAGGAGAAATGATACAACTGCTATGCTGTGTATGAAAGTTTTTCAAAATAGTAAAAACTGGGGCGCCTGGGTGGCTCAGTGGTTAAAGCCTCTGCCTTCGGCTCGGGTCATGATCTCAGGGTCCTGGGATCGAGTCCCACATCGGGCCCTCTGCTCAGCAGGGAGCCTGCCTCCTCCTGTCTCTCTCTGCCTGCCTCTCTGCCTACTTGTGATCTGTCAAATAAATTAAAAAAAAAAATCTTCAAAATAGTAAAAACTGGTGTACAATTTACCATATAATTAGTGACTCCGCTTCTAGGTATATCCCCAAAAGAATTGAGAACAGGGTTTAGAAGAGATATTTGTATACCCATGTTCATAGCAGCACTCTCTGCAGTAACAGCCAAAAGGTGGAGGCAACCAACCAACCACTGACATATAAAAAGATAAACAAAATGTGGTACAGATACATGATGAAGTACTATTCAACCTTAAAAAAAGAACACTCTAATTCAAGATGGATGAACACAAAAGAACACAATGCTTCGATATGGATGAACCCTAAAAACTTTATACTCAATGAAATAAGCCAGTCACAATGAGGACACACTGTATAGTTTCAGTTATCTGAAGTACCTAGAGTAATGTCATAAAGATGAAAGCAGAATGGTGTTTGCCACAAGCAAGAGGGGAGGAGGTAATGGGAAATTATCGTTTAATGGGTATAGTTTCAGTTCTGCAAGACGAAAAAGTTCTGTGGATGGATAGTGGTGATGGTGTAGCACAACAATATGAATGCACTTAATGCCACTGAACTACACACTTAAAATGGCTAAGATGATATATTTTATGTATATTTTGCCAAAAAAATTTTTTTTTTAAGAATTTATTTATTTAGTTGACAGAGAGATCACAAGTAGTCAGAGAGGCAGGCAGAGAGAGAGAGAGGAGGAAGCAGGCTCTCCGTAGAGCAGAGCCCGATGTGGGACTCGATCCCAGGACTCTGAGATCATGACCTGAGTCAAAGGCAGAGGCTTAACCCACTGAGCCACCCAGGCGCCCCTTTGCCAAAATTTTTAACGAGAAAAGAAAAAAAATAAAAAGAAGTACGTCCCTTCTACACTCTCTACCAACCAGCCCCAGCCTATCAGAGAGTTAACAGAAAACACCTGCCAAAATGAAAAACTAATCAGAAAATAGATTAAGCTGTCTCCACGTACAAATGAAATTAGATTTCGATACTTATTATTATAATAAACTACCTCATGGTGGACCTGGGTCACAAAGGTTATGTAATCACAGGAGGCTCCTACTTGATTCCTTCAGATATCCCCCAGGCCTCAAACAAATAACATTTGGTAGAGGCTATTTAGAGAACGAACTTTTCAAATCTTAATAATCACTAAGAAGAAACAATGATACACTAAAAGAAAAAAAACAAGGCAAAGTTCCAAGAATTCAAAAAACAAACTACCTCTTCCATTGTTTCCTCGATCTGAGCAGAAACAGGTTCGGGAGACCTAAGACCAATGGGAACAAACACTGGAGCTTTGTTTACTTCTTCTGGAGCAAGATGGTAACTTTCATCTTCATAATCAGGCTCAAAATCTTCATCATCATCTTCATCTTCTTCCTGTGAAGCCCGAAGAGTCACCAGCGTGGCCTTGGAAGCACGAGGTTCCTTCCTAGAGGTCTTACTTCGAACTCGTTTTGATCCACGCCCTCTGGTGACACTTGGTTTCATCCTGCGATGGATTCTCCTTCCACCATGATCTACCTCACACTCAGAAGAGGCAGTTGTTCTTCGATCCAGACCAATTTTAGAGTAATTTGATTCTTTTAACAGCTGTGGAGAGCTGGATGTTTAATCAAAATAACAATAGTCATTATATGCACATGGAGGACATTTTAGTGAAACCAAAATTTCAGAATGAAATCCCACTTCAAGCATTTAAATTGAAAATGACCACAACCCATTAAGTCAAAAACTTACTCTGTGAAATTAAGAAAGAAATGTACTATTACTACCAGTTCCTTATTCTGAGTTCATTCTTAGTTACTTACCTACAAATTTTTCATAGTAAGTTTTTAACTCTGGGCCATTTTTTCCTTGCTATTTAAGTGAAGATGGGATATAAAACTAGAAATTATTAGAAGAAAATGAGAAAAGGAAAATGGTCCAATAAAACAAAATGAGCTCAAAAAGAAGTGATACTCTGAGGGTTGCTGGGGGGAGAAGGGGCAGGGAGAGGGTGGCTGGGTTATAGACATTGGGGAGGGTATGTGCTATGGTGAGTGCTGGGAAGTGTGTAAGCCTGATGATTCATAGACCTGTACCCCTGGGGCTATTAATACATTATATGTTAATAAAAAATTAAAAAAAATTTTTTAAAGTGATACTGGTGTATCCTACTGGGTAAACAGACTAGGTTAAAATAAAGACGGGAAGGCAAAAAATCCACAGAACAGTTGTTTTTTTAGAACTTAAGTTCTTTTCCACTTTCCTTAAAACCTACAGAACATGAAATACACCCTTCAGGTGTATTTGTGACCCCACCTGAACTAGCACTTTAATTATTTAGGTAACAGATACTGCTACTTTGGTCAGGCTTCCACTCATGTCTAATATACTCAATATCCAGAAATTTTAACTGTAGGAAAGAAAAATCTTCCTAAGAATACTGGAAAAAGGTAAACTTTAACAAATAAAAATCCTAAGCGGGAAAGGAAAAGACCTGTAATTATCAACCAATCTACACTTTTCTTAACAAACCATCTTTTTACTCTACCAGTAAGTTATGGCAAGACATCCATAAAAAGTTACTTTTATTTCTTATTCTGAAAGTATTTGTTAAATAAAACTTTACCTTGATAGTTTACTGAGACACTGCTCTTCAGCAACTGAAGATACAGAATTATCCCCTACAGTTTTTCCTCCAACACTTCCTGATGGTCCAACTTCTAAATGAGTACTGCTTTTGGCCAAACTAGCCTCCGTGGAATCAACACAATCTTTTCTTGCTGAAACCTCCAAAGATGTCCGAAACTCAGCCTTTTCCTTAAGTTTAAGAAGAAACAGCTCATATTACCAAGGAAACAATATTTACAATCATTTGGTTCAGTGGCTAGGCCTAAAGCTCTAAGTTTACACACATACAAATGACTGGTTTCTAACTTTTTATACTAGAAGGTCACTCAATTTTTATAAAATTAGTTATAATACAAAAGACAAAACTATATTTTTTAAAATTCTCTTCTTCATGATCTTGACAAAACAGAGCCCACTGACAAAAAGTATTTTTTTCAAACTTACTTTTTGAAGGAGGTGGGTGTCAGAATCTCGGGGCTGCAGCAAATTATCTTCTGGCTTCCTTGCCTCTCTCTCATTCGCTCTGTCTTTTAGTATGCCTGGCTCATCTTTCTTACCATGTGCTCGTCCCAAATTTGGCTTAACCTTTCGGAACTGCCTTCTTACCAAATGCGCTGGACTAGGAACAGACCTTTTAGGTTCATGTCTAGAATGAAGTACAAATTATGATGAAAAACCAAAATCAGAATTCCATATCGACAAGAGTGCTGTTATATCAAACAATTTTGAACACAAACCAATACTATGTTCAAAGGACTGCATATAAATTGGCTTTAAAACCAAGAACATAAAATGAAACCATATATGCTGATAAAAAGAATATAAAAGCTTTTATAATTTCCATTTTCTGTACAGTCTGGAAAATAGTTTTCAGTAATATTAATCTTTTTTTACTTCACTCATAGATTCTGGTGTGTAGTGTCATGGTACGTTAAGTAATTTTCAGAGAGACAACTAGATACCAAAAAAAAAAAAAAAAAATAAATAAAAAAAAAAAAAAACCCTGCCAGTAATTTAAAAAGAATTTAAAAATGGTACTTTTTTTTTTTTTTAAGATTTTATTTATTTATCTGACAGAAAGAAAGAGAGAGAGCACAAATAGGCAGAGCGGAATGCAAAGGGGAAAGGGAGAAGCAAGCTCTCCACTGAGCAGGGAGCTCAATGAGGGACTTGATCCTCGGACTCCAGGATCATGACCTGAGCCACAGGCAGCAGCTTAACCAACTGAGCCACCCAGGTGCCCCCACAATGGTACTTTATTTTTTTTTTTTTATTTTTTTTTTTTAAAGATTTTATTTATTTATTTGACAGAGAGAGAGATCACAAGCAGGCAGAGAGGCAGGCAGAGAGAGAGGAGGAAGCAGGCTCCCTGCTGAGCAGAGAGCCCGATGCGGGGCTCGATCCCAGGACCCTGAGATCATGACCTGAGCCGAAGGCAGCGGCTTAACCCACTGAGCCACCCAGGCGCCCCACAATGGTACTTTAAACAAATATCTTCAACTGGGCTCTGACGCATGAACAAATACATAATGTCACAACATCCTTGGTCCTTCTGGTTCAAGACCAGGCTTGAAAGCCAGAGTCCATTCTCCCATCACAGACCTATCAGTTTATGGAAAAAGGTTTACTGATAGCCACTGTCACAGGATCTCAAAATAATCATTTTGTGTCTGCCAAATCAGAAAAAGACAAGGTTTAACATTCAACAGAATAGGTATAGTTCCCAAAACAACCCCTGAAGAGCTATCTTAAGTTCTCCTGGAAAATATTTTAATAACTGGCAAGGATCTGAATTTTGAATTGAGAAGCTTAAAACTAATATAAACCTGGATATTATAAAGAAAATTAGGCATGTAAGTACCTATGAGGAGTTCTCTGAAAGATCTATATTAAAGAGTAATTTTTTTTAAGATTTTATTTATTTATTTGACAGACAGAGATCACAAGTAGGCAGAGAGCCAGGCAGAGAGAGAGGAAGGGAAGCAGGCTCCCCGCTGAGCAGAGAGCCCGATGTGGGGCTCAATCCCAGGACCCTGAGACCATGACCCGAGCTGAAGGCAGAGGCTTTAACCCACTGAGCCACCCAGGTGCCCCTTAAAGACTAATCTTAAGTAATATTTCTAACAAATTACCTAGCAGAGAAGTACTCAGTTACATTACCCAATGTTCCAACTCTGCCAAGCTCTTCTGGCAGCAAAACACCAAGGAAGTTTACTGGAAATTCTAACAAGCTTATGATGCTGGCTAAATACATTCCAATGTAGGCCAATGAATTTAGGAAAACAGATTATATTTAAATCAGTTATTTACAGTCACCTGTGATTCTACAAAGGCAAGTAAAGTAAAATAAATATATAAACCTAACACACTACTTAAGTCAAAAGGGACAAGAAGACAATACTGGACTTAGGAACAACCTAATTTTAAAACTATAAAGATTTTTACTCTGAAGAAAGTATCAGTCATGATAAAGCGAACAGCTGGAATAAATTTCATGAATAGAAAAAGGGTTTTCAAGAGAAAAAAAAGGGGGTGGGGTGGGCTGGATCATGGGTTTCCATAAAAAAATTAAAAGTTTGATTTCTCTCATTAAAAAACACAAAAGTTCAGCATAAAATCTCTTGAAACATGTAAAGTTTCTTTCAGGAAAGTCTGCTTATGTAACTACAGGAATCTGCTAGTCTGAAAGTCACAAATCCTGAAAACTTAAGTTTAAAAACCAATTTGCCAGTGTTTATTTTGAACAAGCCATTCAAATCCTCTTGGTCTAGCTAGTTAATGACAAATGAGAGCATTAGGCAAGGCTGAACTTGAAGGTCACTAATCTTTAAAGGCTCAGTAGAGTCAAAATCAAATACTTACAATGGTATGTATTCCTTACAATATAATCTGCCATTCTACCTAGTCTGCCTTTACCCTTTCCTATATCTACTACTCTCCTTCTTCTTCCCCGTTTCACACAGGTCCCTTCACTGTTCCTCAAACAAGCCAGGCATGCTCTCGCCTTAAGTACTTCGAAGCTGCTGTTCCCTCTCCCCTTAGACAACCCCTGGACCTGCTGTTCCTTCACTTCTTTTGGGTCTTCCCTCTGGTGGTACCCTTGCAATGAAGCACCCTTTGATCATTGCTAATCATAATGTAGTATTAAGGTGCCTGGGTGGCTCAGTTGGTTAAGAGTCCAACTCCTGATTTTGGCTCAGGTCATTTCAGGGCCATGAGATCAAGGCCTGCATGGGGTTCGGCGCTCAGTGGGGAGAATGCTTGAGATTCTCTCTCTCTCTCCCTCTGCCCCCTCCCTGCTCACTCACACGCATGCACATATATGCGCACCTGCTCTCTAAAATAAATAATCGTTTTTTTTAAAAAGTAGTATCAGAGGGGCGCCTGGGTGGCTCAGTGGGTGAGCCTCTGCCTATGGCTCAGGTCACGATCTCAGGGTCCTGGGATCGAGCCCCGCATCAGGCTCTCTGCTTGGCAGGGAGCCTGCTTCCCCCTCTCTCTCTGCCTGCCTCTCTGCCTACTTGTGATCTCTGTCTGTCGAATAAATAAATGAAATCTTTAAAATAAAAAAAAAGTACTATCAGTAATAATAAAGCAGATTTTAAGTAATAAATAAAAGTGGTAGTGCTGAAATATCTTCACCTTTCTGGTCTAACTCATTTAGAAGATATCATTCTTAATATTTGGTTTGGGATATTCTAGGATATAGCATTTCCTATGTATGAATTTTAGTCAGTAGGATATAAATTTCTAAATATACCAAGAACTTAAGAACTTGTCTACTATTAAATTTAGTTTTAAAATAAAATATGAGGAGGCTCACCAAACTTTGTGGAGAAATTATAAATGAAGAGAATATCAATCATGCAATTCTTACAGTATTTGAAGAAGCATATTTAAAATATTCTAAGCGTTTGACTTCAGCTCAGGTCGTGATCCCAGGGTTCTGGGATCAAGGCTCACATCAGGCTCCCTGCACAGCGGGAAGCCTGCCTCTCCCTCTCCCACTCCCCCTGCTTGTGTTCCCTCTCTCTCTGTGTCTCTCTCTGTCAAATAAATAAAATCTTTAAAAAATAAAAATTTTAAAAAATTCCATTTCATAATTAAGTATTGCTTTAACCTTTCACAAAATTTTCTTGATGTCAAGTTCTCCAACCTTTATCTTCAGAAGTTTTACGCTTTTCTGATTAAAAGCAAACTCACCTCATCTTTTCATCTAAAACATTTATTTTGTTAAGATGAAGAGGTTCTGCAAGGACCATGTGACTCTGGTTTTCACACGTTATACCTTCTGAAACTTTGGAGGATACAACTTCAATTTCAGTTCCAACTGGAGAGCTTGGCTAAAATGACAAAAGAATGGTAGCATTGTTTTTTCTAATACCTCCCAAAATATTTCAATCATTAGGTATTGAGTTTTTCAAAACAAAGAGTCAAACTAGGTATGCAATGTTCACTTTTTGTCCAAAATAAAACTATCTAATTCAGAGAGAAGCTTCAATTACTGCAATTATTATGTTTACAGGACACTTTAAAAACTAAATAATTATCTGTTGTGAACACCTACCACCCCTTGTTTGAAACCTTGAGAGGTTTCAAACAAAGATTATAATGGCTTTAAATCTATATTTTCCCTTGGTAGACAAGAGAAAAAGAAGGACAAAGAAATAAGATCTGTTGAAAAGTGCATTACACCACTTAGATTTATACCAAAAGATATATCAAAAAAAGATTGGTTAAACTGTCAAACAGCAGAATGTTATGCAGCAATGAAAAACGATATACCTCTATACTTCTTGACATGAAAAGTCATTTAATATATTAAGTAAAATATAAGTTACAAAATAACATGTACGCAGTGACTTTACTATTTAAAAAAATTAGGGCGCCTGGGTGGCTCAGTGGGTTGAGCCGCTGCCTTCGGCTCAGGTCATGATCTCAGGGTCCTGGGATCAAGTCCCGCATCGGGTTCTCTGCTCAGCAGGGAGCCTGCTTCCCTTCCTCTCTCTCTGCCTGCCTCTCTGCCTACTTGTGATCTCTGTCTGTTGAATAAATAAATAAAATCTTTAAAAAAAAAAAAAAATTTATCTTATGTTTCAGTAATCTCTATACCTGATGTGGGGCTTAAACTTACAACCCGAAGATCAAGAGCTGCATTTTCTACCACCTGAACCAGCCAGGTGCCCCAGAGATTGTATTATTTAAATTTACATAAGTGTACACACATGCATGCATGGAGATATACCCAGTAAGATATGTCAGAAGGTTTTCAGTGGTTACCTCAATATTATTATAATATTTTGTATTAATTGAATATTTTCATAATGAATAGGTTCCTTAATTAGGGGAAAAATCTATTTTCATTTAAAAAAATCTAGAATGGTAAATCTAGAAAAGAACTAGATATGTCATATATTCATTGATGAGAATGTCACATGCCTATATTCTAAACCTAGTCTAAGATGTCATTTCGTATTTTAACATGCATTAGAAGGCTCAATTACATAACAATAACTTACCACAGTCAAGAACTTCTCTGTTTCATCTTTTTGTACTACTGTTCTTTCTTCCTTAATTATGCCTTCAGCTTCACCTTTTTCTATTTGCCTCGGTCCAGCCTTTGTTATGTTTGGTCTGGGTCTCTGAAGTCGGCTCCTTACTATTCGAGCAGTTGGGATAACGCTTTCCTTGACTTCTTGCTGAAAAGTGTTTGTTCTATGAGACCTAGAAGAGAGGACAGGGAGAAAGAGAGGGAACTGGACTGTAAAAAGATGAAAACTACTGTAAAAACATAAAATTTGAATCTTCTCTAACAAACTATAAAATCAAATTACTTCAATGATATATATTCTTTTATTTTAAAAAAATAGTTAATTTAATCCTGAAAAGGTAATGAATTTATATAATGTAGAAAATTCAAATTCATGGAGCCAGAAAGTATAAAGGTAGTTGCCAGGGAATGGAAGAAGAGGAATGGGGTATTCTTGTTAACGGGTGAAGTTTCAGGTTGGAAAAATGAAGAAGTTCTGGAGATATATGTGGTAACTGTTGCAAAACAACATGAATGTCCATTTTTGTGAATGTGCATTAATAACACCAGACCATCTATATAAAAAATGGTTAAAACTGTACATAAGTCTTCTACTACAATTTTTTTGGTAAAGATTTTATTTATTTATTTGACAGAGAGAGAAAGAGCACAAGCAGGGAGAAGCAGGGAGAGTAGCAGGCAGAGGGAGAGGGAAAAGCAGGCACTCACTAAGCAAGGAACTCAAAGTGGAACTCGATCCCAGGACCCCAGGATCATGCCCTAGCTGAAGGCAAATACTTAACCAACTGAGCCACCCAGGCATCTTTCTACTACAGTTTCTAAGAAGATAATGAATACAATCTTTATATACATGTATTTTTAAATGCAGTGGTTTGCATAAAACCCTAAGTAGCTAATAGTGAATACAGGCAGGTAAGCATCAAAAGGTGTTAACTCAGTGTGATTTTCTATTTTAGGCAGTCTGACACATGAATAAAAATAAACCAAGTATTCTTGGACAGCCTGGGTGGTACAGTCAGTTAAGCATCCAAATATTGGTTTTGGCTCAGGTCATGATGTCAGGGTCATAAGATCAAACCCCACAGAGGGCTGTGTGCTCAGTGTGGCATCTGGTTAAGACTCTCTTTCCCTCTCCCTCTGCCCCTCCTCCCTGAGTACTCTCTGTCTCTCAAATAATCTTTTTAAAAATAATAAATAAATAAAAATAAACCAAGTATTCTTGATATTCACTTTTAAAATACATTAACACATCTTAGTAACAATGAAGAAATACTTGAAAGAATTCTCTCATATTTTAGATTTTCCTTTGCTTTTTTTTTTTAAATATACATATATTTTAGATTTTCAAAGAAGTATCACTATTTACCCCATAGAAACAACTAATTCCTTTTCCTGGGTCTGTACAGGCTGAGACATCGCTTCAGGATTACAAGAACTTGAAGGTGAAAGGTCCTTTTCAGGCTGTATACATGGGAATATTACAGTCTCCTCCTCCCTGTGACCTGATTTGTCTTTTTCTCTTGATGTCATTAGGGAAGCCACACCCTAGAAGGCAGGTAAGGAAAATTTCATTGAGGGCTGATAAAAGTATAGGGAAATAGGAACTTTCATACACTACGAGCAAAATAAATTAGCAGAGTCTCTGCAGAGGACAAGAGAAAGGTATCTACTAAAAATTTTAATTCTCAGCAAATTTACTTCTAGAAATGTATCTTACAAACATATTCAAGTAAGTAATGGAAAAGTACATATAAAGATGTTTACTATATCCATTTAATAGCCCCCCAAAAAAGCAAAGAACAAAATCAAAACACTGGGAACAAGACAAACCTATCAGTAGGGTATTGAATAAATTATAATTTGCTTATAATGGAAATCCAGAATAATTTAGAAGATAAATCTGTATATACTGATCCAAAAATATGTTCATAATATTAAGTTAAAAAAATGAGAAGGCAAGTTATAACACCATTTTTAGAAAACAAAGAAAATATCCACACATTTTATTATTTATGTAAATAAGTATATATACAGAAAAGAATGGGTGGACATACTCAAAATAGTTACATGACTGATTAACCTGGGAGGAAGAAATGGGACATTATAATGGAATCTCACTTTTAGATTATGTATTTTTTCAATCTGAAATTTCTATAATCAGATAAAATAATCAATAAAAAAGATATACCTTTTTAAAATATAAGAGCAGGAAGAAAAAATACAAATTTTCTAGCATTGTAAGAACTAAGCTGTTTTATTTTTTTAAAGATTTTTAAAAATTTATTTATTTGAGAGAGAATGAGGGTGAGAGAGAGAGCATGGGAGGGGAGAGGATCATAGGGAGGAGGAGACTCCCTGATGAACGGGCAACCCGATGCAGCACTCAATCCCAGGACTCCAGGATCATGACGTGAGCCGAAGGCAGCTGTTTAACCAACTGAGCCATCCAGGCACCCTCTTTATTTAATTAATTTATTTATTTTTCCTTTGCATAAGTAATTTTTTTTATTTTATTTTTTATAAACATACTCGTTATTTATTTTTTAAATGGGCTCCACACTGGGCTTGAACTCACACCCCTGAGATCAAAACCTAAGGCAAAATCAAGAGTTGGACACTTAACCAACTGAGCCACCCAGGCACCCCAGAACTAAGCCATTTTAAAACACTTGGGGCACCTGGGTGGCTCAGTTGGTTAAGCATCTGCCTTCGGCTCAGGTCATGATCCCAGAATCCCGTAATGGAGCCCTACATGGGGCTCCCCACTCAGCAGGGAGTCTGCTTCTCCCTCTGACCTTCCCCCCGTCATGCTTTCTCTCTCTCTCGAATAAATAAATAATTAAAAATAAATAAAAATAAAACAAAAAGATTTTTAATCCAAAATTGCACTTTTTAAAAAACACATCATTTTATTATCTTTTTTATGAACTGGGATTTTTTATTATTATTAAAGTACAGTTGACAATGTTTTATTAGTTTTAATGCACAACACAGTGATTCAACAATTCTACTCAACATTCACCATGGTAAGTATAGTCACTATCTATAACCATATGTTACTATATTATTACATATGTTACTATTTAAGTATATTCCCTATATCGTGCTTATCTGTTACTTATTTCATGACTGAGAGTTTGTGCTTCTTAAAAGATTTTTATTTTTAAGTAATCTTTATACCCAACATGAGGTTCAAACTCACAACCCCAAGATCAAGAGTTTGCATATCTACCAAGTAAGCCAGCCAGCAGCCCTGGGAAGCCTGGACCTCTTAATCCCCTTTTCCTATATCCCCCATCTTCCCACCTCCTTCTCCTCTGGCAACCACCAGTTTGTTCTCTGTATTTGAGTCTGTTTCTGTTCATTTATTTTTCAGATTCCACATGTAAGGGAAATATATGGTATTTGTCTTTCTCTGACTTATTTCTTTTAGCACAGCATCTCACTTGGCAAAAGGGACTTCTAGGCCCATTCATGTTACTGTATATGGCAACATCTCATTCTTTTGTATGGCTGGGTAATATTCCAGTGTGTGTGTGTGTGTGTACGTGTGTGTATAAAACTCTTCTTCATTCACCTCTTGGTGAGTACTTTGGTTGCTTTCCTATCTTCTCTATTGTAAATAATGCTATGATAAACAAAAGGGTGCATCTGTCTTTTGGAATTAGTCTTTTCATATTGGGCAAATACTCAGTACTATAATTACTGCATATGGTAATTCTTTTTATTCTTTGAGGATAATGTTTTCCACAGTGGCTGCACCAATTTACATTCCCATCAACAGTGCATGAGGCTTCCTCTCTCTCCATATTGTTGCCAACACTTGCTATTCCTTGTCTTTTTGATACTAGTTAATCTGTCTGGTAGGAGGTGATAGCTCATTGTGGTTTTGATTTGTGTTTTCCTGATGATTAGTGATGTTGAACATTTCTTCATGTACCTGTTGCCATCTGCATGGCCAAAAAAGTACTTTTATATTTAGAACACTCAACTTATAAATGTTAAAATTTCCATTCAAAGTTTTTGATACTATATACACAATCTTAATTTGTTGCGGACCAAGTTAACAAAGTAAATAAAACACGTCCTTTAACTCCTCTCAAGCTTTTAACTTTTTAATTCACCTTAACAACAATGTAAAATAAAGTATGACTATCAAATTATTCTTCCTGTGAAGAAACTAGCTGCATCGTTTGGCTATGGTCACACAATGAACTTATTAGATCCCAGGATTCTTAAATTCCTTTCCATGACATACTTGCCCATCATGAGAGATACAAGATTCTTACAAAACCACATGGAATAATGAGGCACATTAATTATGGCAAGACTAGTATCACATGCAGTAGAAATTATATGAAAATATCTGTTAAATGTTAACCCCAGCTGTTTTACTTTAGTAACAATAGCTAAGACAAAAAACATCCACCTTGAATAGCACTCACATGTTGAGAAGGGAGAGTGTTCACCTGTTCACTGGTCTGCTGCACCACAACAGTCTCAGTTTTATCAGTTTCCAATTTCTTCCCACGTACATATTTTTCTGCTTCTGTAGTCTCTCTCTTTAAAGTTGCTCTTGCTAAGTTTGGTTTTGGTCTCTTGAATCGGCTTCTCATAAAAGGTGCTGGTTTAACTTCAAGTGGCTTCTGCTCTTGAGGAAGAGATTTGCTTTTGGAAAAAGGATTATCAAACTTTAGAATGAGTTGAAGGGGCAATGAGAACAGAGTCTTAGGACAACTTGAGAAACTGGCAATAAATATTAAATCTAATTCTTATTTTTAATTTTTAAAAAATATTTTTATTAACATAATGTATTATTTGCCCCAGGGAACAGGTCTGTGAATCATCAGGCTTATACACTGCACAGCACTCACCATTAACACACACCCTCCCCAATGTCCCTTTAAATCTAATTCTTAACAGATAAACAAATTGGGCTATTTGGCAGATCCTGAAAAATACAAGGAGTACAACTGAAATATAAGCCTATCATCTTTGCAAAGAGAAAATACCAGCTCTCACACCCATACTGACTTAGGAGTATGTGTTACATCCAATTCTGATGTTAGTAATTCTCTCAATCTAGTGTCACAATGACCTCAAAATTCTCTCCCTATCATTCCAGAGCTTAGAAGCAGTTTAACACTATGCTATAGATACATCTTGAAATCTTACTGATAATCTGAAAATGTCTCCTTAGATGCTTTGTCTTGGGCACATGTGTGGCTCAGTCAATTAAGCGTCTGCCTCTGGCTTGGGTCATGATCCCAGGGTTCTGGGATCAAGCTCCACATCAGGCTCCCTACTCAGTGCGGGGCCTGCTTCTCCCTCTCCTTACCTTCTCCCTGCTCTTGCTCTCTCCCTCCAATAAATATTTTTTTAAATAAAAAACATAGATGATTTGTCTTTAAAAGCACACAGACCAATATGTTTGTACCTTAAATTAGTATTTGAAAACAGCTCTGGAACATCTGGAGATAGCATCCCCTGGTCGTCTGTTTTATCAGGTTCAGAAGTCTGTAAAGAAGTCTCCAAACAACTCAAGTGACCTGACAGTTCCTTTTCAGAACTTTTTTCTTCTTCTTCAGGTGTTTGCACCACGGATAGTACTTCACTGCTAACATTCTAGAGGAATAGTCACAGAAAATCGGCACAAATGGAAAATGTCACAATCATGTGAACTTCAAGTAACTGGAAACTTGAGGTTTTTTGAAGATTTTATTTTTAAGAAATCTTTACACCCCACATGCAGCTCAAACCTATAACCCCAAGATCAAGAGTCACATGCTTTAAAAAAAGGTCACATGATCCACCGA